AATAAAACCAAACTAAATAGAACAATGAAAACAATATGGGGTTCAAATCATAATAGATTATCAGTGGCCACTGCCTTCTCTTTTTGGACAATTTCTCCCCTTTAACAGGATGTATTGTACATTTTGGGTCCCACTAACTCCTTTAGCTTTTATACGAGGGAAACAATCCACTATTTACCTGTGTGTCTGTGAACCTTTTTACCCCTGAGCATGATCTCAAGTTGTATCCATTTACCTACAAGAGCCTCAAGGTTATCTTTCTTTATAGCTGAGTCGTTTTCCATTGTATAAAAGTGTCAATGCTTTCTAACCAGTCTACAGCTGATGGGCAAGCTACCCACACTTTTTTCTGGTTCCTTGTCACATAGAGCATTATTTTCTCATCTTTGACTTTCAGTCCATAAACATTCTTGCAGGTAAAATATATTTCTTGTATAGAGCATCTTAATGGACGGTATCTCCTGATCCACTCTGCCTGTGTTTCTTTTTATTGGTGAATTGAGGTCACCTATATTAGTGATTATGGCCAACTTTCTCTCCTCATCTCTACTGTGCTATTTTCCTGTCGTTGGTTGCCTGCTTTTCGTCTTCATTCCATTGTCTGCCCTGCACAATGAGCCCCCTCTGCCACTCTTCCTGAAACCATGGTCTTTTTTTTTTTTTTTTTTATGTCTCTCTAGAATGTCCTTCAGTGTTTTTTTGTAAGGTTGATTTGGTGGTCATGAATTCCTTCAATTCTTTGTCATGGAAGTATCTTGTTTCTCAATTAATTTTATAAGCTAGTTTTGCAGGGTACATCAATCTGGGTTGGAAGTTGCTTTCTTTCAGGACTTGAAATACTTCACTCCATGCTCTTCTTGATTTGATGGTTTGTGTCAAGAAGTCGTGATTCTGATGAGTTTTCCTTTATAGGTTATCTGTTTCTTTGACAGCTTTTAATAGTCTGTTCTTGTGTTGAATTTCTGGGATCTTGATTATTATATGTTTGGGTGTAGATCTATTTTGGTTATAGCTGGCTGGAGTTCTGTATGCCTCACTTATCTGAACGTCATTTCCTTTTCCTATATTTAGGATGTTTTCTGTAATTATTTCTGTAAATAGCCTTTGTATTTCATTTGTGTTGACCCCTAATTTTTCACTCACATTTGTTATTCTTAAGTTATGCTTCTTCTTGTCATCTTGTAGCCTTGGTATTGTTACTTCCTGATTCCTTGTTATTTTTAAGTGATCATTTCTTTCAAAATTGCAAGCTGCAGACCTGTCTTCAAGGTTTGAAAGTCTGTCTTTAGTTTCTTTCAAGCAAACTGCTTTGTTCTTTTCTATGCATTATCATTAGTTTCTCCAGTTGCTCTGTGGTTTTTAGTTTTTAGGTTGGCTCTTTCTTGTTTTCTGGACCTTTTCCCTTTCTTTTCAATAGTTGTTGTCTCCCAGGGATCTGGATTTCAGGTCCTGGAGAGGTTGTGATATGCCTTTTACTTGTAGTTGCTTTTTCATCCTATATAAAGTGAGTCAAACTTACAGTGAATCACACTTAAAAGTAGGCAGCTAACATTCAGGCCAGTGTAATATAATATTTGAACAGGAGAGGGCTCCCTTGCTCCAGCTGTGAACATCATTAGCTATGTTGCATGCACATGAATTTTTTTCTTGCATATTATGACATTTTCATTGTGTAGGTGTAGTTAAAATAAATTGAAATATATGTTACAAAGTTTTAGACGTAGTAAAATTCATAGATGATAATGTTTTGTTACTCTTGTTTATTGAGAGTTAGCGTTTGAAACAGAAAGCCTTTTTGTTTCTATCATAATCATTTTCCAACTCTAAAGTAAATTTTTTTTTTTGTCTTTTTCGTTTTTATTGGTACCAGGGATCAAACTCACAACTGCCTGCTTGCAAGGCAGGTGCTTATGCCGCTGAGCTAAATCCCCAGCCTCTAAAGTAAATTTTAACTGATAAATGTAAACATCTCACTTGAGTTTTAGAATTTTTTAGTCTGACATGCTAATAAAAATCTAATGTACAATTTGCAAATTTTCCTGCATTATATAATAGTGTTACATTTATATCATACCTGTGATACCATAGTTATATGATATTATTGATATGATACCATTTATGTCATTACTATGATAACATACCACTACATATTCCAAATTAGAGTTAATCTCTTATTTTGTAAAGGGATATTTGGTACCTTCAGAACAGAAAATTAGGTAGCTGGATACTCAGCATCAGGGATGAAGTTTGGCTTTGAAGATTATATATGTGCATGTAATCTTTTATTTATTTATTTTTCTTTTGTGGTAATTGAAATCAAATTCAGGGACACTTTTAACACTGAATGTATCTCAAGTCATTTTTAATTTTCTTTGAGAGGGACTCATTAAGTTGCCCAGACTATATTTGAACTGGGAATCTTTCTGCCTTTAGTCTCCTAAGTAACTGGGATTACTAGCATGAGTCCAAGTTTGATGCCAGTTTGTGTAATTTAGTGATACCTTGTCTCAAAATTTTAAAAAGGGCTGGGCGGTATACAGCTCAGTGCTAGAGTGCTTATTTAGCAAGGCCTTGGATTTACTCAGTATCGTAATAACAAAAACAAAAATGAGAGAGACAGAAAGATAGACAAAAAAGAAAAATTAGTAAACTTTTAGGAAAAACAATGTGGAACATTTTAGTATCATCCTATCTGAGATCAGATGGAACTGACTTCATATGATGCTTTCTTGTTAGATTGTCTGAATCTGGCCCACACTTAACACACTAACCAGGAGATGCCTAGACCATTGATATTCCTCCTCAAATAAACTTACTGTCTTGGTTTTTTCCTTTTTTCTGGCTTCTCAGCTTTTGCCAACTGCTCCTCAGCTTTATGTGCAAGTGTTAGAGTTCCTTAGAGCTCTTACTATCTTGTCTCTTTTTTTTCTCTCTCTCTCTCTCTGTTTAATCCATCTACTTGTAAGTGTTTAGGTTGCTGTTACTGAAAATATTAAATAAGTGAACAGGTGGTAGATAGCTGGTTGTTAGATAGCTGAATAAATGGATAGAGAGGAGAAAAATAAGACACATCAGTAGCTTCCCATGAAGACCTGTCTGTATGGGCAGAAAGTCTACAATCTCACCCTTCTCACTGTCACCCTTTTCCCAAAGGCCACTTCATCCTTCAGGAGTCATTTTATCTCAGTTTCTCTGGGAGGCGCTTCCTGACACTCTTCATCCTGCTTCCTCAAGATTGAATCCCTCTTACCCATTCATTTTTTTTCCTATTATACATTATAATAGTACCCTATACTTCTTCATCAGAAATACATATAACTTTGAAATTATTTTCTGTATGGGAAGGAACTTTGTGACTTGTTTAATTTTTTATCTCCGATTCCAAAGAACTGTTTCCTCCACAAAGAAGACAGTCAGGTGAGTGAGTGAATCAGTGAGTTCAGTCTGACTCAAAGTTGAAAGGAACTTCACAGATGAGACCTAGAATCATGGCTTAATGGATATTCTATAGTTTTTCTTTTCAAAGTACAGTCCTCTGACCAGAGCATTGTCATTAGTTGAGAAGTTATTTAAAAAAAAAAAAAAAAATACAGCCTTAGACTCCTTCAGATCTACTGACAAGTTCCCAGGATGATTTGGAGGCACAGTAAAGTTTTCAAGAAGCATTGCTATCTGTTACCTGGTTGTTCTGCTTTTGCTTTGGTACTGTCAGTGAAAGGAGTCTGCTACTATCCAGAATAATCCTTTATATTTTCAAGTACTTGTTTTTCCTGGCAGATTTCTCTTAACCTGTAGCCCAAACTTAGAACCGCCTCCCTTTGGTCCCACTTGTGTTCTTTAGCCTCCAGAATAAGCCTAATCTACTTTTGTTGTTGTTTTTTTTTTAACCTGTAGACTTTGAGTATTTGGAAGCAGGTATCATGTTCATCACATTAGAGGACGGCAGGGAAGAACATTTTTTGCTTTCCTTGTTGTTCTTGGATTCATGTTGATCTTTAAATGGCCATTACCTTTTGGCTTATGAGATCTCCTTTGGTATATTGGAAGAATTGTTTGTCTTCATTTGTTACCTTTCCTTTTTTACTTATTAGCCTTCAGAACCTTCAGAAACATTTCCCTGAAGTCGTATTACAGAACTCTATATATAGTGGTGATTTTCAAACATTTATACTAATTATCTTTGGTGTTTTTCTCTATCTCCCTTAATAACTAATGTAGAATTGAAAATTTGTGTTTTATGACATAGCAATGTGTCTTATCCGTTGATAACTGGAAAAGGTCATGATGTCACCTATACATGACTTTGGAAAAAATATTGTGGAAAATGAATATTACTCCTTTTTTTTTTTTTTTGTCTTTTTTCATTTTTATCGGTACCGAGGATCGAACTCACGACTGCCTGTTTCCAAGGCAGGCACTTATGCCGCTGAGCTAAACCTCCAGCCCCGTGGAAAATGAATATTAGTAAACTGTTTTCATGTGTTATCTCTGCAAGTAAAAGAAGTTACTGCTTAAAGCTGGGTGTGGTGGTACACAGCTACAATCTCAGCACTTGGAAGGTTAATCCAGAAGAAACACTGCAAGTTTGAAGTCAACCTAGGCTACATAGTTCAAAACCATCCTGGACTGTATAGTGAGACTGTGTCTCACAAAGAACAGGAAAAAAAAGGAAAAAGAAATTATTGCTTATACTGCAATCTATGAGAGTTTTGTTTTATTTTGTTTTGGTCAGTATGAGTTTTCTTTATATAGGTGCCATTTTTAAGTTTTATGCCACCTATTCCGGTCTATAGGAAAGCATAAGATACAACTTTTTCCCAAAAGGCCTAACATTTTAATTGTAGAGATATGATTAAGGAACCTGTAAGATTGGAAAACAGTGAGATGTTTATCTGCAAGACTATAAACAAACTACATTATTGGGAAGAATTATGCTTGTAACTACAATGGTCATACAACTTAAGACAATCCTTAATAAAATAGTGCTGTTTCTTTTTCAGGACATTCATCCTCAAAGAAACCAGAAGATTTTATAAACAGTAAGTAGAAGTGTGTTTTTATTGAGATTCAAGATATTTGCAATTTGGGTTTCTTATAAATCATATCTTAATCTGATGTGAATTATATTTGTTTTTGTACTCCATGAGAAAAATCATAGACAAAATGCCAAAGCTGGATATTTGTTGCCCAAGAACAATTGAAAGTCTTTTAACAATAGATAGCATTAAAAGTTTTTTTCAGTAAATGTATTTTTTTGGTAAATACAATCCATGCTTTAAAATGTGAAGGAAGTGAAATAGAGAGGTAAGGTTGGAATGGAAAATGAATGGAGATGGGTTCATACTGACGGGGAGTTGCTTATGTTGCATGAGTCTTGAGTGATAGTTTGGCAGTTTTCATTGTTTGCATAAGTGTCTGGTTTGTGCACAGAAAGGAGAAATTGTGGTACTGATTGCTGCTGATTAGTATTATAATTAGACTTAAAGTTTTCACCAGCTTGTATCAAAACAGATTGGATTTCACGCAATATAGTGGTACTTTGGTTTATGAGTTTAATTTGTTTTATGATTTTGGGGAAGGTGGCTGTGTTTGGTGTTTGTAGGGGGAAGATGACCCTGGTTATGTTTGTCACCTGATACAGAGTTCACAAATGGAAACAAAATTTTGCCAAGTGGTTTTGTTTGCAAACAGGAACATTTTTGAACTGAAGTATTGTCATATTTGCTATTAATTCTATTTTCCCCTGCAGTATCACAAAAATAATTCACAATGAATTTAAAAATGTATATAAGATTTTTAAGGTAAATATCAAAATAATAGCAATAAAGTAGAATAACAATGTAAAGCTACAGGTAAAATTGATACATACAGCTGGGCGTGGTGGCTCACTCCTGTAATCCCAGCACTCGGGAGGCTGAGGTGGGAGGATCATTGCGATTCGAGACCAGCCTGGGCTATGAAGTGAGCTAGCTCAAGGCCAGCCTGAACTGCATAGGGAGACCCCATCTCAAAAAAAAAATGATACATATAAATGCATGCCAAAAAGTTTTGTATGATTGTAAAGATACACCACAGGCTTGTCACTGTGGTAACAAATAGGTGCTGTCACGACTGATAGGGTCTTTCTGTCAGCCAAACCAAATAGCAATGCCATAAGTAGAAATATTCATAGTTTCCATAAGATAACATAGAACTCAGAAATCTGAGGTTTTTTTCTGGAAGTTTTTTTTTTTTTTTTCTTTTCTTTTCTTTTCTTTTTTAGACAGGGTCTCACTCTGCAGGTCAGGCTGGTCTTGAGCACATTTTCCTGCCTCAGCCTCCCGAAAGCTGGAATTACAGATATGCATCACCATGCCCCGCTATCTGGCAGTTTTTAGAGGAGAATCTCCTGTGGATTTATGAAATGAGACATTCATTTGTGGTGACTTACAGGCACCATCATATATATATAATCTTCTGAGAGCTAGAGAATTTAATTGTCCAAAGTCAAAGAGTTAATAGAAAGTTAGGTTTAAACACAAGTTTATAATTCCAAAATCTGTGCCCTACATCATCAACTGTGCCTTAGTAAAGCAAAGCAAATGTAGGTCCACTCCTTATGCCTTGATTTTGGCAGATACATTAAATAGTTCCACATTAAATGATTCGATCTGTTTGTGTCTCAGTTCTACTATGAGATGGGCATAAAGAGACCTGTTTAGCTGGATTGTTAGTTATCAGAATCACGAGATTCTGTGATACACAGATATAAAGTACTGTATTTATGAGTATAAATACTCATAAAGCATATGCCTGACACAAAGGGAGTTCTTGATCATCTGTACCTATTATTAATGTTGTGTCACAGCAAAAGGCCAAACATTAAACAGATTCTGTGTTCGTTTTCTAGAACTGATGAGATTTAAATTTCTAAACATCTGACTTATCCACTTGTTATGGTTATTGGGGACATTCTGCATTTTCATGAGTGAGTTTCTAGGAATAGTGGCCACAAAAACCAAGATGATAGGCCTACTTTCATTATTTAAAGCACTTGAAAAAAATTATACACAGTTATAGGTCCTCCACTCTATAGAAAATGTTATAGAATATAGAATTGAAGTAGGTCAAGAAGAGAACAACCAGATTCTTGAAGATACTTGCAGTGTTGCTGTTAGGAAGAGGGTGGGCTGAACTGCAGGTGTTTAGAGAAAAGTTAAAGGATAAGGTAAGAGGTAGGAGGTATGCATGGAAACTATAGATATTTGGAAGGCACCACTATACAGAAGGCTTGTTTTTGTGCTTCAGGTTGGCAGACTTAGATTCTATTAATTAAAACTTTTGAAACAGATGATTGCCTCACTTTAAGGGAAAATTGAACAGTCTATTAAAAGGAATGGAAGCATGGGTTCCTTCATGAGTAATGTGCTCAAGCACAGATTGGACAACTAACTGCTTGCTTATTGGGTATATTGCAATGAAAAGTTTATTCTTCAGATAAGGGTTGAACTAAAGGACTTCTAAGTTTGTCTTCTAACTCACAGAATTAGTGACTTAATTTCTGATTCCCACTTGCCAGTAATCACTGCAAGACCTGACTGTAATGCTGTAAGCACATCACTTGGCACTAATCTTTTTCCTGTTACTTCCTTAGCAGTGCCTTACACACCGGGGGAAGTAGGGCATTAATTTGTAGTGACTGCTACCCTTTGACAACCAGGGTGATTTAGGGTCAGAATTATAAAGTTGTAAGGGTATTTGACCACTTTTTCAGTGGATACTTTTGCAGAAGTAATTATCTACTAAAGTTGTTCTCCACTGATTATGATTTTTTTTTTTTTTAGTAAATTGGATTATCTGGTATAAAAAGTTTGTATATGAAAGCTGGGACATGGGAAATTCTGTCAAGGGAACAAAAAAGAGGTAGTAGGAAGGCTTTTTAAAATCAGCTGCCTGCTTTGTTCTCAGACTCTTAACATAGTGCCAGACCAGTAGCGTTCTCTGTGGCGTGCTAGTGAATTTTCATAAAACACACAGAGGACTTTTATTCTTCTCACATCGGTTTAAGACACTGACAGGTCCAGTCATTGTGTGAGAGTCTTCTTCCCAGGATGCTATGATTTTATCATCATTTGTATATAGATCAGAGAAATACAACACATACCTCCCACTTCTCTCCTATTTTTGTTAAAATCAGTGCCGCAACAGATTCATGGAGGACTAAAGTTCAGGCACAAATATTGATTCAGAGGTCAGTGACTGGCAGGGCAAAGGCTGGAACAGCTGGGGAAATCAATGCTGTTTCACTTTTGTGTTGCGTTGAACTAAGGGACATTCTGTTCTGACAGCCCAAGGTAATAACTGCAATACTAACTTTTGGACTTGCCACTTGCAGTATCTTTAATTCTTTTTGGTCCTACAACAGATATACAACTTAAGATTTTTGTAGAGTGCATATTTCTGTTAGAACCAGTACCTTAAAAACGGTTCTTTCTTTAGACATGGAGTTATTATTGAAGAGGAATTATTTGCTAATACACTTTGTGGAACATGGTTTCATTACCAAATAATATATTTTCCATTATTTAATAATTTTTAGTTGACTAATATAGTTCATTACAAACATAATCTGTTTTTAAAATTTTCAAGATGAAAGTATTTTGTTATTTTTAATGATTTTAAAGTCAGTACATACTCATTGTCTTAGTAGAAGCAATTTAGAAATGTTTAAAGTAAGGGGCTGGGGATTTAGCTCAGCGGCATAAGCACCTGCCTTGCAAGCAGGCAGTCATGAGTTTGATCCCCGGTATCGATAAAAAGGAAAAAGACCCCCCCCCCAAAAAAAGTTTAAAGTATAAAGTGAAAGTATTCAAGGTGCACAGGTAATATAATCACTGTTAAATTTAGTTGGTCTTTGCAATTCTATGATGCATTATATAAATTTGCATACACAAAAATATAAAATATTTTAATGTAAATTGGATTATACCAGCAAACGTTCTGTAGCTTTTAAAAAATTTGATATAGCATGAATATTTTCCCCCAGTAATACCTATTAGATAGGTGAAAATTTTTAAAAACAGTTGTTAGGTATTCATTCAATCAATTCTTAATCACAGATTAGTGAGAAATTTGGTTATTTTCTTTTGTTATACAGTCTGAGTTCTTTGTACATATATATCTGAGTTACTTATGTAATAAACAAATTCTTAAAAGTGGCATTGCCAGTCATAGCACCTATGCCATAAACTGATCTATATTGCCAGATTTTCCTCAAGAAAAAAAGGTTATAGAATTTTTGACTTTGAATAGTGTATGAAAATGGCTATTTCTTCAGTGAAACAGATTTATTCTAATTACTTTAGAATATATTATTTTTACAAAATGTCTGATGTATGTTTTCACAATTCGATTGGCAAGTCTTACATAGTTGCTCAGTTCTTGAAGCAATGATTCTAACATAAATATGCTGTTTTTGTTTTTGTTTTTTTATTACCAGGGATTGAACTCACCACCTTGCATTTGCCAGGCAGGTGCTTATGCTGCTGAGCCAAATCCCCGGCTCCCCATAAATATGCTCTGTACAAAAATCTTAGCTTACACGTCTGTTGTATGACCAAGAAAAAAATAGCCAAATCAAGGAAAACTTTATAGCAGAAGATAATCTTTTTTTTTTTAACTTTTTATCGGTACCGGGGATCGAACTCACGACCACCTGCTTGCAAGGCAGGCGCTTATGCCGCTGAGCTAAATCCCCAGCCCCGAAGATAATCCTTTTATAAGAATTAATATTGGAATTGCTACTTTAAATTAGCTTAGACAAGCTTTTTGTGAGACATTAAATTCCTGGTCTTTTGCTGAGACACTGGTATTTCTCCAAGTACATTTATTTTTAAAAGAATTTACTATATCTGGAAGACTGAATTAAATTTCCAGAGCACCATAAAAGTTGAAGCTGAATTAAATCCAAAGTTAATTACATTGGCGAGTAGTTTAAAGTGTTGATAATAGATAAATGTTGTTTACAATTTATAGATAAATGTTGTTTACAGTTTTCCTTTAAATGAACAGAAACCTCTGATGAAGAAGAAAGTGCTTCAGAGTCTGAGATTTGGAAGGGCCCAGTGCCAGAAACAGATGAAAAGTCACAGTAAGTGCTGCTACTAGAAGACAAACCAAACCCATTTAATCAGTTTAGATAGATATACCAACAGTGCTTCTTGATAACAATTAATGAAAAAATTTAACATCATGAATGTCTTTAATGCAAGGACTGCCATGCCTGGTAAGATGAGAGTTTATTTCTAGCCATTATTGGTAGCCATAAACAGCTAATGTGTCCAACTTCTTCAAGGTGAACAAACCTTTCATTAGCTGACCTTAACAAATGAGCCTCTGGTACTTGTTTGGATTACTGGCTTCCAGGGCAGTCTGCCCTATCATAACTGTGATTCCCATATACCTGTACTGTGGAGCCCCTTGACAGTTTATACAGGCATATAAGATGCCAATACCCACCTTAGGGCCTAAAATATGTAAGTCAGTGCATAGTTCTCTCTACTATGATTTGGAAAAGGAAATACCACTCTGGGTGTGGACCAGAATGTTATCAGTTCTTGTCATATGCTGAGTGTTTACTTCTTGAACCTTATCTATTAGAAAGGAATGAAATACCTACCAAACAGAGTTTATTGTAAAGATTAAATGAAATGAGAAGGTAAATCATCTGCTATCATATCTACAAATACAGTAAGTGCACAATACATTTTAGCCCCATTTTTGTCAGTCAATAATCATATTAGTTCACAATAAAAAGAGACTTTGTGAATCAGTTTTATTTTGGTAATTATATGGTATGATCTCAGTGCAGTAGAACCAGGTTTTTTAAAATAGTTAACATCTTTAATGGTGATCAAAGAAAACCAGTTTAATTTCAAAATGGTACTGACACTTGTCTTCTAGCTTTTCTACCCCCTTCATTTTTTTTATTAATTAAGTTTATTGGAACATTTTAGGTATATATAATGATCACACTTATTACAGGGAATCTGTACCTGTACACAATATATCTTGACCCTTTTTCTTTCCATTCCTCTAATCTTCTCTTCAACCCCTCTTACTCCTGTGGTTTTTTTGGAGGGCGAGTACTGGCAGTTGAACTCAGGACCTTGTGTTTGCCAAGCAGGCACTTATCCCCGGCCTCTACTTTTCACAAGAGCTTTGTTTCTATTTTTCCTTCTTTCTCATTTTTTTTCTTTTCTCTTCTTTTTCTATCCCCTCCCCGCTTGGTAGTCACCCTTCCCATTTGAACATTTTCTTCCTATTTCACAATATCTATTATACATTTTTAATCCTTATTTACTTTTTAATTTTCTCACATCAGAAAAACAATGCTATATTTACACACTTCTCATTTATTTCACTTAGGAGTATAGTCTCAAGGTGCATCCATTTAGCTAGAAATGTTTTTCTTTACGACTGAGTAGTGCTCCGTTGTAGAAAAAAAATTGCCACATCTTCTCTATCCGTGCATCAGAGGCTGTTTCCAAGATTTAACTGTTACAAGCTGTGCAGCTGTAATCAAGGATGTGCATACATCGCTGTCTTATGATTCTTTTAACTCTTCCTGAAATATGGCAAGAAGGGTGAAATGTAACATCTAGTCCTAGTTTTTTGGGGGGAATCTCCACACTGATTTCTTCAGTGGTTGCACCAGTTTGTATTTCTACCAACACTGGATAAAGGTTCCTTTTTCTCTACAGCTCTGACAGCATTCATTATTGGTTGATTTCTTGATAGTAGTTATTTCTGGAGTGAGGTGGAATCTCAGCTTTGTGTTAATTTGTATCTTGCAAGTGACAGGTGATGTTGAACATTTTTTCACATATTCATTTGCTGTTTCTACTTCTTCACCTGAGAAGTGTCTATCCATTTCAGATGCCCATTTTTGGATTGTGTCTTTAAAGTTGAGGGGTTTGATTTTTTTTTTTTTGAGTTCTTTATATATTCTAGGTAATATTCCTTTGTCTGAGAAACAGCTGGCAAAATTTTTTCCTACACTATGGGTTGTCTCTTTACTCTCTTGGTAGTTTCTCTTGCTGTGCAAAAACTTTTTAATGAGATCTTGGTTGTTGAATCTTTGTGACATTTCCTATGTGGCTGGGTTTTGTTCATAGTCTTTGCCATCTTTGGCATGTGTAGAGCCAGTTTTTCCCAGCACCATTTATTAAAGAGACTGTCTTTCTTCCCATGAAGGTGTTTGATTTTTATGTCAAAGATAAGGTGGCTGAGCATGTCCAGAGTTGTTTCTCGATAGTCTAATCTGTTCCCTTGATTCTTAGGTCTGTTTGCTTGTTTTTGTTTTTCACTAGTACCGTACTGTTTTATCACTGTGGTTTTTAGTATAATGTCAAGTCAGGGGCTGTGGTGTTCCCTGCTGTGCCTTTGTTGCCTAGGATTGCCTTTGCTATTCCAGGCCTCTTCTGGTTGCAAATGAGTTTTGGGATTGTTTTCTCTAATTCTGTGAGATATGCTGTTGAAATTTTGATTAGGATTGTATTGAATCTGTGTAATAATTTTGGAAGTATGTCCATTTTCACTATGTTGGTTCTTCCTACCCAAGAGCAAGGAATATCTATTTTCTGATATTCTCTTAGATCTTTTCCAGAGTACTGTAGTTTTCAGTATAGAGGTCTTTACTTCCTTTGTTAGATTGATTCCTAGGTATTTCTTTTTTTTCTTCTTTTTTTTGGATACCATTGTGAAAGGTGTTGTTTCCCTAATTTTTCTCTAGGTGAGTCATTTGTACAAGAAAGCTATTGATTTTTGAGTGTTGACTTGTATTCAACTAAACTACTGAATTTGGTTATTACATGAAGTTTTTTGGTGGAGTTTTTGGAGTCTCCTGGAGTGTATCATGTCATCTGCAAATAATGATAATTTAACTTTCTTTCCTATCATTATTCCTTTTACTTCTTTATCTTATGTAATTGCTCTGGCTAATATTTCCAGAACTGTATTGACTGAGAGTGAGGACAGTGGACATCTTTGTCTTGTTTCTGATTTTAGAGTAAAAGTTTTTAGTTTTTGTTCATGTAGTATGATGTTGGCTATTGGTTTATCATAGAGGGTTTTTATCAGATTGAGATGAAGACCATCTATTCCAATTTTCTGTTGGGTTTTTATATAAATGGGTGTTGGACTTTGTCAAACACCTTTTCTTCATTTATTGACATGATCACATGACTTTTGTCCTTGGTCCCATCATTGTGGTATATTACATTTATTGATTTGCATATGTTGAACCATCCTTGCATCCAAATCTGATGTTTTTGTAAAAATCTCTCTGTCTCTGTCTCTGTCTCTGTCTCTGTCTCTTTCTCTCTTTAGTAATCCTAACCAAATTTAGCCAAATAAAGAATGCACAAAAGTGTGGTTATTATAGAAAAGATTATTTTAAAAGCTGTTTCTTTAAATAAAATATTGATGTCCAATTTAAAGTAGTCATTTACTGAGCATTGAAGAGCCGACTGAGAATGGCTGAAGAGGTCTTAGACTTAACTTACCTTTTTAGAGAATAAAGATTCAGGAGTAAATCCAATGATAAGATTTTCATAGTGCAAAACTCTGTGTGTTTTAACTCTTTTGATATTGATTGAGTACTGAGTATCTTAAGTCTATCTAGCTAATCTACCAATTTCATTTAGATACATTCTTAATACTGTTTGTTAAGTTCTAGTGCATTTTGCTGTTATGCTAATGAAAAATTAGCCTATGGATAATACCAAGTTGCATATAGGTCCTTAATCATTGTATTTGATTTTGTAATTTTTCTTTAAATTTGAACATCATGATGTGTTCTTAGATATTTAAAACAAATGATGGAGTAAGGAGAGTGGTAGGTTAATTTTTATCATCCATCTTGATTCTCTTTCCCAGAAGAAAAATAATTGTGTATTCATTTAATCCTCACAACTATTCTACGAAAGAATGTAAATTATCTTCATTTTACAGATGAGGAAACATATAGAGAAGTTCAGTAACTTGCTCGTACAGCTAATATGTATCAGAGCTGGGCTTTCCCCTTACTTCAAACCCTCTGTTATTCCCAGGCTATTGCTGGCTCCCAGCACTAACACTTATTTGATAGTTTACACTTTTCACGTTGGTACATTAGAATCTAATTAATACCTCCTCTCAGAGTTCGTCTTTATTTTAGATGTTTACTACTAAAATGTGCAGTGAATTTACCATTTACAGAAAAGTAAAATACTGATATCTAAGCAGATTTTCCCTATTCTTAGGAGTAAAACTTGTTTTTGTTTTATTTTGTTTTGTTTTGCTTATAGTTTATTTTTTGTTCATTTCTTGACTGGACTGTAGTTTGAAAAGAGAAAGTATAAAGAAAACCCCAAATAAAGAGAAGTAATATTTTACTTCAAAGCAAATAGGGAATACATTTTGGGAGAGGTGCCTACATGTAAAATATTTTAATTTTAATCAATCTGAATATAGTTATGGTTATCCTAGAAACTAAGAATTATTTAATGGCAAAATTGTAGAAATGTATATATTGTTATGTGATAATCAGCCAGTATGTTGAATTAAAATATTTTTATTAACTTCATAATGTTTCCTAATAACTTTTTACTTTACTGATTTTAATTTATATATTTTTTCTTTTAAATAGGGAAGAAGAATTTGATGAATATTTTCAAGATTTGTTTCTATGAGACAGAAAAATCTGCATTCTTTAATGTGAAAACTCACTTTTAAATTTCATAAACATTTTATCTACAAGTTACAGTTTGAGTGGTTGGTCTTTGGAAATAAAAATGCTACCACATTTTTCAGAAGTTTATTATATTAGGGACACGGTTTCCTGTCCCTTATGTAACTTCTCAAGTGCTTATCTGTAAGTGTTTTATCTGTAGCCTTTAACATGTGGTGTACTATTTTTAACAACATTTAAACTATAAAATAAGTAGCTATCTTGTGTTAAAACACAGCAATATCTCAGTTGACAAATGCTTTCACATGTAAATAATTCAGTTTGCAAACAGAAGCATTTGGCAAAATTTTGCTTCTGTTTGAGAACTTTGTTCTGGGTGATGAGCACAACTCCAGCCATCTTCCTTGCATGAACACAAACATGGCCTTCTTCCCCTGGACTGTGGAGTGAATTAAGTTTGTGGTCCAAGGTGACCACTGTATTACTATCAGAGGATTTCCCTCCGTTAGAGTCACTATTCACTCTACATATATTTATCAGGCTTCTGTTACTTATAAAGCCCTGTGCTGGGCATTGATGCAAGGGAATTATCTAGGAAATAATAATAATAATTTCCAAGCTTTTATCAACAACAGTAAGAGTTTATTAATGGTAAACATCACGTGGAAGTCCCCTCATTTCCTGAAGGTTTTTTTTTTTTTTTTTTTTATCTTTTAGAGTGAATAAAGAAAATCTTATGTTTCTCAGGAAAACTGTTTTAAGTATCCAAACAAAATTCATATTAGTCGTGGAATCTATATAAGCATGATTAATTTAAACATGCATTCTTCTACATACATTTCTCACATTTTTTCTTGGCATATTCAGTGGTGATCAGTGGACCCTTGGTCTAGGGGATTTAGACTTCTTATACCTTCTCTGAAGCAAAGTTCCTACCGTGGGCAGACTGGCAGGGGTGACACCTTGCTACCCTCCATTCAGTTTTGGTGACTGGGGAAGGGAGGTTTTTTGAGTTGATCTTAGGGTCAGAAACTATATAAAGCTAATAGAATAATTTCTCATGTGGTTCACAGTGATCCTAGAAGTAGAGTCTCAAAATTATTTGAAATAATAGAAATAAAGTGCTGTGTCACTAACCCAAGATAATGACTTAGTCATTCATAGTTTATGTTTGTTTAAAACATTTATTCAAAATATTATTCATTTATATTTACTGAGTACTTATCTTGTAGCACTCATTACTCTGAATGCCAAGATAAAGTTATGAACAAGACAGACAAAAAAATCCCTTCTCTTGAACTTTACATTCTAATATGAGGGAAAAGTAACTTGTAAAAGTACTAACAAATGGTGATTTATGTCTTGGCTGTTCAAAATTGATCATTATGTTGTATATAACAAGAATACTTGCAGTCCATAATCTTAAATTTATTATAATTTAGGTATTTTTGATAAAACACTAGCAAAATACATTTATTTACTTTTGTTTATCTGTTTTCTAATTTTGTCTGTGATTATAGATAAGTAAAAGAAACATAAATTTCTCTAGCGCTCTGTTTTGAAGTAGAAGTCACTGACTGTTCTCCCTGGCATTCTCTCCTGGGGGGTAAACCTAGATGCAGTGATAAAGGAACCGTTTAGAGCTGTCAGTGATAGCAAACAGCCTGCTGTGGTGCGAGTGCTATAGGGTTACCACACTAATCCTAGAGCCTAAGTGATCTCTTAGTAAGCTATAGCCCCAGTCCTGTTTTGTTTGTTTTTTGAGACAGGTTCTTACTAAATTGCCTAGGCAGGTCTCAATTTTATGATCCTCTTGTGTAACTCTCTGCAGTGGCTGAGATTATAGGTGTATACCACCATACTTAGTTTTTAGTTTTTCCTCACAATTTAATATTTAGAATGTCTGCTTGATACTTCTGTTAATAATTTTTAAAAAGTAGTCTTGAGTTGAAGTTCTTGCAGGCTGCTTTTGATAAGAATTTTCTGCCTCGTCAAATCATACTTCTAATGAAGTAGAATATTTATGAGCAAATCTAGCTTGCATTGGGATTATCCAGTAGTTTTATAAACTGAAAATTCTATGAGAAAAATAGTTCTTAGTGTTAAATTGTGCAAAATGGTCTTTATGCATAACAAAATACTTGATTTGGGACTTTGAAGGGGGAGCATAAGACTATGATATAGTTTTACAAACTGCCTAAATATGTGTTCTCCACATTCCATTATCAAGAGCAAAACGTAAAGAAATAATATGCAGTTCAGGAGGGATAAGATTTGATATCCTTTTTTCTTTTGATTTTTGTACTGTATTTATATACCTTAGTATATTGTATAACGTGTTTACTGTAACACTGACATGTGGATGAGAGAGTTTTAGTTCAGGAAATGGCTTGTGGTATGAATCACAAAGGTGAATGTTGCCGACTAAATACCCACCTCCCCTTGAAACCATACGTTGGGGGGGGTGTTGTTGGGGTTTTTTGTTGTTTTTCTGTCTTTTTGAGACAGGATCTCTCTATGCAGTTCAGGCTGGTCCTGAGCTCACTTTGTAGCCCAGGCTGGTCTCGAGTTTGCAGTGATCCTCCTGCCTCAACCTCTAGAGTGCTGGGATTACAGACATGTATGTTCACACCCAGTGTCCAATCATATGTTGAACTCCTAATCCACAAAGGCCCTATAGATACCACAAAGGGCCATTGATGAGGTATTTAAGATTAAAATGAGGTTGTATAAGTGGGCCCTAGTCTAGTAGGATTGATGTTCGTATAAGAATGAATAGCACACAGACACAGGGACAGCCATGTGAGGACACAGGAAAAATGGCCATTTATAAACCAAATAAAGCTTCACAAACAAACCAACCCTGCCAACACCTTAATCTTGAAATTCTGGGTACTAGCCTCCACAGTTCTGAGAAAATAAATTTCTGTTGTTTTTAATCTGCTCAGTCTGTGGTACTTTTCTATAGCCTTAGCCAAGCAAATAAATACAATTAGTAACTTTTTAAAATCTGTGACTAGTTTTGGGTTAATACATTTTTTAAATTTAAAATAAGTTGGCACCAAAAACACCTATTATTGTCTTATTTTGCACTTCTGTTGAGCTTTATTTTACCCTCAGGGTATTTGGGCCAGCCCTTTTATTCTCTGTGGTAGTCATGGTAATTTTTCTAAAGATTTTCTCTTTTTTTTTTTTATTCAGTTTGCTGAATGAAATTTGCTGAAGTTCTTTTGAATGTTTTCTATTTCTCTTCAAAGCTAAGATGATGTTTAGACCAGTTGGATTATATTACAATATTAAACATGTTTTGGACTTTTTGTCATCACCACCACCATCTCCTGAATCTTGGACAGCTAGTTTAAAAAAAAAAAAAAAAGAAAGAAAAAGAAAAATGTGATATTATTAGGATTCAGTGTAAAGACAATGTTTTTATTCTAGTACTATGTCACCTTTTAGCCTAATTAGTAAATTAACCTATAGGAAGTACTAAGGGTTTTACCACTGAAAAGCAAAATTTTATTTTTAAAAATGTAATCTGTTAAGTGGCTAGAAAAGTGAACAACTCACTGTCTCACTGAGACCGTGGAACCTGGAAATTCCAGCTAGATGGACAAAGATGGTGCCTGGGAACACAATACAATATTCTTAGTTCACAGAGAATTCTCTGTGTAGTAGGGGAAAATTCAGAAGTAAATTTTTATGCAAATGAAAGGTGGATGAGCTCTATGCTAGGAAATTAAAATATCAGGAGCCACTTAACAGATAGTATCCTCATTGGGGGGGGGGGGTCCTTGGGACCTCGTGACCTCACACTTAACCAGGCAAGCATTTGAGCAGCTGAGCTAAATCCCTGGCCCCAGATAGTATCTTCATTATAAATTTGTGATAGAAGTAAAGTTCAGTAGTACTTTAGTAGTGGTAGTATGCTTGCCTTTCATGTGCACAGTAAAAGTCACTGCCTACATGTATGTACGTCCTACACTTTCCTGTTGGAGGCCCTGTACTAACTTTGGAAGACAGATTTTTTAGGTGGGCCTCAGATAATGCACTATCTGGCAGCTGCTTACACTACCAGCTTCATGTGGTCTTACCTCATTGCTCCCCAGACTCAAGTTTTATCAGTTTTAAAATTCTTTAGTTGCACCAAGCTTGTTCTCACTTCAATAACATTTTTGCATATTCTATTTTTTCCTTCCTCCCCCACGCCTACTGCTTCTGTGTGACTCAAAGTTTACTATCCCTCAGGAAAGCTCTTTGCGTGCCCCACAAACACACCGTGCTTCAGTGCTTTTTCTGTCACTCACAGATCGTCAGTTATGCACTGACTGTTTAATATCTAACTCCCTGATCCAGATGTCGAGCTCGTGGAGGTAAGGTACCCTCTTTCCCCAGAGATGCCCAGCATGGCATTTTACAGAACTTACACCCATTGGAATACATCAGCAAAGGCATGGCCAGGGAGGCATCCTTAACTTTGTTAAGGAAATATCCTTATTGTCTATGAATTAACTTGAAGGCCACCAAACACTATAGAATCATCTAAAAGAAACATACCCTATTTTAAGGCCTTCCCACACAGAAATGATTTCTTTGTCAATAAGAATTCCTTACAAAACCTTCAGTGTGCTAAAAATGAAAAAACTAGCATTTCTTTCTCTTTTTCTTTCTTTTTGGAGACAGGGTCTTGCCATGTAGTTCAGGATGATCTTGAACTTGCTTTGCTGCTCAGACTGGCCTCAAACTCAGTGTGATCCACCTGCCTCAGCCTCCCAAGTGCCGGGATCACAGACATGTGCCACTTCGTCTGGCTAGCATTCCACTTTCAAGATCACATTTCAGTCATTTAATGAACACACAGTTAATCCGGAGGTATTTTAACAGGACTCTTGAGAACAGTTTTAAATGTGATGCATGACTGAAGTTGAAATTTTAGGCCAGGAAAAATAGTACCATTTGGAGACATTCGGGGGACAAGCAAAATCTTGGAGTATCCTTCTTGACACCCCAATTAGCTAACCAGCTTTACTGTACTACTTCCTTAACTGGGAAGTGTGTAAAGACTTTCTTATAGAGAGAATATTAGGCTCTGCTTAAGCAGGTTGTCCAGAATCCTACAGCTAATGCAGAAGGTCAGGCTGAAGCTGTATTCTCACACATTTCTGAGCCTCCAGATAGTGACTTCATACCATGAGGTCACTTTTATAGTTAACATTCTGCAGCAGGAAAAGGAGGCTTCCTGTTGCATATGACTCTGCTTTGTCATGCCCAGTTTATCCATGCCTGCTTGGGGATGCTTCACACAGAGTGAGGCTCACCTCACCTTTTCCTTCTGTGTCTGCTCCTTCCTGCTGCTTCACCTCCTCCTCCATCGTCTTCACCTTTGCATCATACTCATCAGCTAGGGATTTCCACTCCACTCGGTTATTCTGAAGGCCATTCAGCATCGGTGTGATTTCTTTGTGAAACCGTGAGAACTCCTAGAGAGAGTTTTAGGTCAGAAACTACTAAATCATACGGTTGCTACTCAGTGTTTTTCATGTGCAGAAAAGGAACTACAAGGTGTGGTGTAGTCTCAGTACTGCTAGGATGAGCAGAGCTCGGTGTCTCCACAGCTTGGGAAACAAGTGTTGTCTCTTGTCTGCCTAGTTAGGTCTGTTTGAGTGGCTCACCTCTGAAGTCTCAGACCTTTTATTCTACCCAGAATGAGATTAGATCAAGCCTCAAAGTACTATGGAAGAACAGTGAGACCTCTACAGGTTTTCCTGATGGTTGCAGTTGAAAGAAACATTCTAAATGATTATATAGTTGATGTGTTGAAGTGCAGCAGTGTGGAGCGAGGAACACCTTTGGGTGATTCAGTCATGAGAATTCTGACCTCATGGTGGATTAATTTCATTGATGGATTCATGACTATAGGGAGGTGCTAGAAACTTTAGGATGAGGACTCTGGTTGGAGGAAGTAGGCCATGAGGGGTGTCCTTGAAGGGTGTGTTTTCTCCCCACCCTTCCCTCCCTCTTCCTTCTTGCACTATGAAATGAGAAGTTACACTATCAGTGAGCTCCCTGCCGTGAAGTTCTGACTCACTGCAGCCCAAGTTTATTTTCTCAGATACTTTGTCACAGCAGTGGACATCTAGCACACTTACCTTGTATACAAAAGTACAAACAAAATCAATAAATCCAACTTGAAGTTTAGGTAGTTCATCTTTTTTGTTTCTGTCCATCATGGGCTAGAAATAAAAACAAATCTCTTAAGGATGCTTTTCCAAGATTTAAGTGAATGAAATACACTGATAATTTTTAATAAATAGTCATTCTGTGTTAACTTTACAATAGGTTGTTGCTGCAGCACTGTTCGTTCCAGATCTCCTTGTTCCCAAAATTCATTTGCAACCAGAAGTGCTACCTGCAAAGAAGAAACATTTGGTTCACTAGAAAACTTGCATTTTCTTAGCATGAATGACATTTAAGGGTAGAGTTTACAGTCAATGCTGGAGTGGCATCATACCATATATTCAAAGATCAAATTGAAATGGGAAAAGGGGACTCTTTAGTGTTCTAATTCTGTGATTTTTGTATTGCTACCGATTGTCAGCCATAGAGAGGGGAAATTGAAGGATGCTTAGTGCTTCAAGCTCAAGTCTTTCTCAAGTCCATCTTTGCCATGTACATCTAACTTGTATAAGTATCCAGCATGTACAAGGATTGGTATATATCTTTACTTGATTACAGGGTGAGGATATTCAAAGTTAATTTCTATCATTTAAAAAACAATCACATTCAGTACCTTACATTGACATGAACCAGACTTGGCAAGAAGGGTAAGACAAAACTAACCTTTTCTTTTCAAATGCTCCCAGGGCTGTGGGCAGTCAGGAGTCAATGTGGTAAGTGCCACAGACAGGGCAGAGGAGGAAAGGTAAGTTTCACAAAGCACGTAGGATACATTTATGCTGTATTATCAAGAGTGAGTGGCCATTTGCCAGATAAGGGGAGAGTGAGGTGTAAATAGATGCCCAGAGCTTGTGTGACTAGGGTTAGGGTGTGCAGTGGTGACACAGAGGAGTGATGGCAGTGTCCCTGGGAAGGTGAGGTACACACAGGTAGTGGTAGCCCTGTATACTGTGCTGGGAATTTGAATTCAGTTGTCCAGGCCACAGGCAAGTGGCCTGGAAAAAGCATTTTACTTCCAGTATCCAATGTTTTGCCTTATTCTAGGACCTGATCAAGTGACTTCTCCCTAATTTTTGTTTGCTTGTTTTTGTCGGTACCAGGGATCAAACTCACAACTGCCTGCTTGCAAGGCAGGTGCTTATGCCGCTGAGCTAAATCCCCAGCCCTGATCAAGTGACTTCTTGTCTTACTGACACTTATGATTTGTCAGAATATGGTTCTGAGGTCACTGGAGATTTTTACATGGGGTTTAGGCAGCATCTCAGAGTATGGCAGAAAAGAAAATGCATTAGACTTGCCTGGCTCTGTACCTCCCAGGGTTTGGTTATAGCAGATAGGTCACATGCAGTCATCATCATTGCCCTCAGGAAGAAAAGAAGAATTGTTAATATAGAAATACAAAAGATGCTGTTTCTGCCAAAAGAGCAATACAATTCGGAGTGCTCACATGATAACCTCTTTTTTGACTGGATCAATGGTCACGTATTTGATGGCCGCCTCTTCAGTTTGCATTTGTTCACAAGCATCAACGATTTTTTGAAACATGGTTCTCTTCCTAGAAAAGATAAAAGCCATGTTACAATTTTCTCATAAAAGCAGAGGGAAAATATCTTAATTATGTGCCCTTCATATTTTATGTTCCTATTTTGCTTTGGGGCATTCACATAGCAATTGAGGCTGGAGATAAAGGGACAGCCAATGACTAGCTTCTGGATTGAGAAAGGCAAGAGACAAAAAAAAAGTACAAAGGAGCAAGCACAAATAAGTTTTAATACATTAAAACTAAAAGCTAAAAATGAGAGAAGAGACCATAATATAAATATAATTAAGATCACTGAAAATAACCAACAAAAAGTAAGAAGTATATAGATGCTTGGTCTCACTGATAAGAAAATACAAATTTGAACAATGAGATTCCATCTCATAGTCAATAGATTTACAAAATAAGCTTTAAATGTGTAAATATTACAGATGTGGGATTGCAAGAACTTTATTCCTGGTGGAAGATAAGTTGGTAAAACATCAAAAGGGTACAGTTTTGCAAAATGATACAGTGTTAAACAAATGCAAATCATACGGCATTCTTATCTACATTTGTATACCTTAGAGAAACTCTTGTATTCACAAGTGTATATAATGTAGCACTGATGAAAAAGTGGAAACAATCTAAACATCCATGCCTAAAAGAATAGGTAAGTTAATTTTGATATATTTAACTTTGAGTAGTCCATACAGTTGAAACACATGAATTAGTTTTCCACTCCTTCCAAGGGTAAATCTTTCAAACATAGCGTTGCATGCAAAAAGCAAGTTCAAAAAGGTATATATGGATGGTATGATATAACATATGAAAGTTTTAAAACAACAGTGCCATATAAAAAAATGAGTGGAAAAGATGAATACAATCAACATCAGATGGTCATATCTTTGGGAGCAGGGAAAGAAATTCCATGGGATAGAGTATCTTAGTCTCATCCCTCATTTTTTTCCACCTTAAAAGATGAGATCAGAGACAAATGCAGCAAAATTGAACATTGGTGGAACCTGAGTTATGGATATTTGTTTTCATATTTGAACTATTTAACAGCAATTTGTTAAAGCTCAAAAAAGCATCATTTGGCAGTGCTCAAATAATCTAATACTTGGATTCTATTCATTATCTCATCTTGTTTAATCTTTATTCACCAAGCAACTTTATACTTTATTTACAAGAAAATACATGAATACTTGGAGTATCTCCTTGGTAATAAGCTCTCTCTCTCTCTCTCTCTTTTTTTTTTTTTTTTTTTTTTTTTTTTTTTTTTTGGTACCAGGGATCAACTCACAACGTCGTGCTTGCCAAGCAGGTACTTATGCTGCTGAGCTAAATCCCTAGCCCCTCTCCTTGGTAATATAATTAAGCAGGCACATAACTTAGTTCTGAGTTTAACCCATACGTGTCAGGATCACCAAGCAGATTTAGCTTCCAGGTTCTGGTAGGAACAAATTTCTAAGCGTAAAACACCACATACACATTTCAGATAAGGGTGTACTTACCAAGAGAAAAAGGCACAATATGACTCTTCTGACAATGCACAAATGAATTTCTTAATTCAGATTTCTTCTGATGCTAAGCTATGCAACATAAGGGGCTTAAATTTTTAAATGTTTCCTGATGGCTAGTAAACTCACTGCCACCTTGATATTCTTACTGATATTCATAAAGGAAGACAAACTGATGTGCATGTGTGTGAATAAATGCCTTTTAACCTTAATGCAGTAGATAATTCACGGAAGCAAAAGCACAGAGAGTATGAGGGCCTCCTAATACACAGTTATGTACTTACTTGAAATATAAAGCCAGGTCAGTTGCTATTATTGCAACCTCAAACAGATGAATAACTGTTTCAAACTGCCGCTTACTTAGGTTCTGAAAGATGTTTAAACTCTGTAAGATGAAAATAAAGCCACAAGAAAATACAATAATTAATTTGCCTTTGGTTCAAAAAACAAACCAACCAAACTATCCTGTAGGCCTTGTACCACTGATTTGTTTTCAGTTTTTATGCCATAGGTTGAGTAAACACCTCTACTTAGCAAGGTAATTTAAACTATAAAAATAGAATTAGCAAATATTAAGGTAATCGGTGTCTAAGAGTAAATAGCATGTTTTGAAATAATGTTAGTGTTTTCTACTAGAACTATTCAAAATTTGCTTGTATTAATTGAAGCAATTTAAGAAAAAATCTCTGACAATCCCAGCGTTCAGGAGGCTGAGGTAGAAGGATCATTGTGAGTTTGAGACCAGGCTGGGCTACAATGTGAGCTCAAGTCCAGCCTAAACTGCATAGGGGGACCCTGTCTCAAAAAAAAAAAAAAAAGGAAAGAATTTCTGGGAGATGTCCGAATATTAGACATCTTGAATTACCTACTAGATAATTTTAGAGTGATCATAGAAAACATTAATCTTTCAGAAACTGCAAATTACTAGTACTTCTATACAGTAGAAAATAATGCAGCTCTTCCATGTGGCCTTTTAAACATGTTCTTGCAAAAGTATTTTCAAAGGCTTACCTAGACCTTTTTTCAAAGAGTTTATTAATAATTAATAGGTTCCTCCTATGTGTATCAGTTTCATTTCTTAGTGTTCTGAGAAACCAGAGTACAAACTGGGAGTGGTTGTTAGAAGCCCTGCTATTCCAGATGGACCATTTTAGTCGTAAGGGTCAAAGAAGAGAGGTAATGAAATTGAGCGTACCAAAACAAAGCAAAATTTCACTGGGAGAAAGAGTAGATAGTTTGTTAACCTATCTAAAAACATAGAAATAGCACAGTGTAGAAAAGAATACTGGACCAAACAGTTCTTGTTACTGACCAGATTTAGTGCTTTATGAACACTTAATGTCCTTGCAATAATCCACAGCATAGACAGGTTAACGGGAAGGGCAGAACTAGGATCTAAGTGGACGCAGTGTGACGACTACAGACTCTGTGCTTAGTCTCCATACTACACTACCTCACAAGGAGCCCAGGCTCAGTTTCTGGCTTTGCCACTTGAGAGCTGTATATGCCTGGACACTGCCCTTAACCCCTGTGTTTTGTTTTCTCAAGTGGGCTGATAACAGCTGCCCTGCCTAACTACCCAGCACTAATTCAATGCTTAATAAACATAGACCTGTAAAGCACTGCATCAAATGAGGTAACTGGGAATGCGTTTCAAAAGTCCAAATTGCTATAAAATTGAGTTATTTCCCTGTCATTATTATAGTTTTATAAAGTATTGAGACTACACTAGGTTAGAATTTGAAACCCCAAAACCAAACATGTTTATAAGTCTTTGCAGGAAATTAAAATATTAACAATAACTATACAAAAACTTGTTATATACAATAACTACAAGAACTTGTTTATATACTTGTATGTATACTATACTAGGCAAAATACAAATCTTCACTTACATCATTTTTTTTTTTTTTTTAGTACCGGGGATTGAACTCACAACCTAATGCTTGCCATGCAGGCATTATGCCACTGAGCTATAGCCCTGGTTTACATCATCTTTTTTAATAATACCTTCTATAACAATAGCAAATGGTATTTTATGAAGCATATATAAATAAAAGAAAGGAAATCTGTGATTTGCTCTGTTAGTACAACAAGTTAATGACAGCAACTACAGTTAGCCTTAAGATCAAAGCCAAATTACAAAAAAAGGATACATTGTCGGGATTAAATCAGTTTCTTACTTGGAACAGTTCAGAACAATCCCATGGAGCTTATCGTTCCAGAATCTCTGAACCAAATCTTCTGAATCAAGTTATTTTCATCCTGATCTGTATTGGCCAGGAAGCAAAAGGAAGCGGGGGTCGTTTAATCCCTTTACCTGCCTGGGCTTACAGTCAGTCTTAGCCCCAAGGCCAAGAAGTGATCGCCCTGTCTTTAGATGGACGGTGGCTTTCCCTTGGGACTGGTGGTAGTCTAGTGGCAAATTCACATAAGTGAGTCACCACCTTTATGTGTTCACTGTTGTACATTGCCATGCCCCCAAATAATGTGTATCATGGGATTATTCAGCCACATATTTTGCAGATTTGTAACTTTTTCGGTACTGGGGATTGAACTCATTGCCTCACAGGTGCTAAGCAAATATGCTACCACTGAGCTATGTCCTTGGCCTTTCAATAATATTTAAAATCAATCTTGATTTCTGTACCAAGAAAGAAAAATTAGAGTGAGAGAAGCTGGGAATGCATGAACCTGGGTTAAATTTTTGGGCAAATCAGTAGTTATAGCACATAAAATCCTTTTTAAAAACCACATAGACTGATGAATACAAAGAAACAATCTCCTAGCATACAATCGTCCTTGCCTCTACCAAATGTCATTTGTACAGAGCGCATGATTTTCAACCATTGAACAAACCGATCGATATTTATTATGTAACAGTTTATTCTAGTGCATATCGCTTATATTTGTAAACATGGACACCTGTTGCTACTTGGTAAATGTCCATGTGTATGAAAGGTAAAGCTATCTAGAGAGGTAAGAAGTAAGACCAACATTGTTGCACTCCACTGAAGTCATACCTTTTGCCAATACAAAGCAACAGGACAGCTAGTTTATGGCACACGCAGATGGTCTGTGTTCTACTTCTCACGGCCGCTGCCTTCCTGTGTCGCATAAGGCGCCCGAATTTCACCATATCTTTTTCTCTCACTCATTTTCACTCATGTTCATGTTAAAATATGAACAAGTCTTCACATTTAAAAATCGTTTCTCAATTTTACCTTCTTTTATATCTTCTCTTTGTTTAAACCTGTGGTTCTCAAAAGCTTCTAATTACTTTTAAGTTTGTGGGTATAAATTCATGTAAAAAGATATTGTTTCTGTTTTTGGATTGGTTGCTCTTGGCCAAATCGTGGCTGATACCTAATAAATGTCTGTGTATCACTGCCTACATTTTGGGTATATATGGGCTTTACCTAATTTTTCTTATTTCTCCATTAGCTTTTATTTTCTTTTTCTTTCATATTGTATGTATTTTGGGGAAATTAATTAAAGTCTTTTGGAACAAATTTGGGACTAAACATACGCTGGGGTTTTTGTGGATTGTTGGTTGAAAGTGAGAAAAATACCCCTTGATTCTTTAATTAGAACAAGAGATCTCAGGGTGTGCTCCACACAGCCAAGGGAAGGCTGTCCTTCCCGGAGTGCGGAGTGCGGAGTGCGGGACACCAGGACAGCACAGCGGGAGGTGGAAGCCGTGCTGAGGGCAGTTGTCTGTGCTGCCCCCCACTACGGGGTCCCCTGCGCCACAGAGAATCCCAAAAGGAAGCAGACCTGACCCCAAAGCACAGATGCCTGAGGCTCACAGGCTTTGCACATGTGAGCATTTCCTACCTCTGAAAAACCAGAATCAAAGACGTGTGTTCCCCAGACCCCCCCCCCCCCAATAGCATTGGTGAGAGATTATTTAAGACAGTGACGAGGAAGCTAAGAACTGTTCTTCTCATTCGCCTTTCTCCCGTGGTGTCCCGTCTGGCTCCATTCAAGGATGCATAATTTCCAAAAGGAACAAGCATGTAACCACTTGTATAAACACCAAAAAACTGAAATTTATAGATTTGGAGCAATTCCAACCAAAACTACCAACGAATCAGAGAATATGTGCTTGTAAATTGACAAATTGGTTCTAAAATTCATTTGAACAAGCGTAAGGTCATGAGTTCAATCCTTGGTACCAAAATAGAATAAATAAATAAAATTCACACGGAAACAAAAAGGTCAAAAAAGTACTGAACTCATAAAGTTGAATTAAGAATCAACAATAGAAAATTATAAAATACAAATTTTATAAAGACATGATAACAAATACCTTACAAAGCAGGTGAAAATGTGGGAAAAGTATAAATACTCTATTTGCTTTGTATTTCACAGCAGGTGGTTAAAAGATGGCATAAAGTTAAAAGTATAGTGTAAAAATAAATGCTTAAACCGTATAGATTTTCATAAGTTTCATAATCATTTTTGAGGACTCTTTGAGAATTAACAATTCATGATGACACAATGATGTAAAATTCTGCAAGTCCTTCCATTTTTTTTTTTTTAATCTGTACCGGGGATCAAACTCATGACCGCACACTTGCGAGGCAGGCACTTATGCCCGAGAGTAAATCCCCAGCCCCTGAGTCCTCCCATTTCAAAATGTTTTCTGTTAAACTCAAGTAAATGATTTAATGCTTTTGATACTCATTCATTCATTTTGCAGTTTTAGACACTGAACCCAAGCCCCGACCCTAGGCAACTGCTCTACTACTGAGCCATATCCTCAGCTATTGACTCTATTTAATTGAAGGTAATCGGAGTTTTACTGAGCAATGAAAAGGAACGAATCACTGACATGCGCAAATCTCAAAATTACTCTTCTATATGAATGAAGCAAGCACAAAAGAATGCTTCCAGGATAGTTGCACTCAGCAGGATCTGGGAAATGCAAACTGATTTATGGGAACAGAACGTTTCGGTGGCTGTCGGGCTGGGAGGAGAGAAATGCTCCAGCCCCAAGGGATTTAGTCAGCGGCATAAGCACCTGCCTGCAAGCAGGCGGTCGTGAGTTCGATCCCCGGTACCGATAAAAAAAAATGAAAAAGAAATGCTCCGCAAGGGGCGCGGGCGACTGCCCTTAGGGCGCGACAGAAACGTCTGGTTATGGTGGAGGTGCTGGTGCTTGCCCAGGTGTATAAAATGATGAAAACCCACGAACTGTGCACTTTAAAAGGGTGCACCCAGGCGTCGTGGTGCACTTGGGAGGCTGAGGCAGAAGGGCCGCTGCAAATTCAAGGTCAGACTGGGGTACACAGTGAGTTCAAATTCAGCCGGACTGTATGGTTCAAAAACCAGCCCCCCCCCCCCCCAAATAGATACATGAATAGATGCTACACAGATGTGACTCTAAGTGACTGGAAGACAGCTCTGAATCCAAAGACAGCTTATTCTGTGATCTCATTTTTCAAAACGCCTTTTGTCTCCACGCTGTCTGCCGAGATCCTCAGGGTGACCGAGGGAAGCTCTCCAGATGTGAATGAAGCGCTATTTTGGGGGGTAGGATTTGAAACCTTATTCTTCCTTTATTTGTCTTTGAAATTTCCCCGTTACTTGAATTTGTTAGTGGGTAAATGTAATTCTTATAACAATCTTAACTCACTAATTTAAAAAATATGTATGTGTGCAGCGTCCCATTTTTCACGCTGAGCTTTGTGTTGAAAATGAAACAGACGCACCCCAACAAGGCAGGGGCCTGGTCCCCAGGCCTTTCCAGTCCAGCCAGCCCTTGCGTGGTCAGCTGGTCTCCAGAGCTCAACAGACACAGAGAGTCTATTTTTGTTCCTCTCTCTTAAAACGGTAATAAAATATTAATTCTTTGTAGCACACCAGAACAGGTGGAGATGGTTTTTAATTTATTCTGCCTGGGAACTGCGGGTGAGTGGAGACAGAAAAGCACAGGCCGTTCTCCTGGCCAGCGCAGGGCCCCCAACGCCCACGGGAAGAGCGAGCTCCTGTTCCCTAGGGCTGGACACAAGGCTTCCATTTTTCTTTGCTGTTTCTTTGAATAACATGAGACAGGCTGATACAGTATGTTGGAAAAGCACAAATATAATGATATGATTTGCAAATAGATGTCTTAAAGAACAACAGTATTCTATTGTTTATGCTGAGCAATTTATTTAACATTATAATATTAAAATTAAAATGTTTGAAGAATGCTCACAAATTCCAAAATTACTGGGGAAATCCCACGGATTTCCCTTATTTAAAAAATTTTAGCAAGTACATTTTCTTTATGGAATAAAAGAACTACACTGTCCCCTCAAAATGTAGAAACCATATCTGATGGCTAAAAATGTCTTTTTTAATGTTCAGTTTGCTCATAAACAAACTGTGACTGCATCACCTAGCAACTCTATTGACAAGGCTTTAAATGTCTGCAATTAGCAGGCAAACAGTATTGCAGAGAAGTCCTTGAAAAGGCAGTATGGATTACTGAGAAGCAATATTCCTTTTTAGAAAGGATAACAAATCTTTGTATAACCATCAAAACCAGTTTAGACTGTAATATAAATAAAAAAATTAAGATGGAAAACTGCCCCTCTGTGGTAAACTGTCAAAGTCCAGAAGGGAAAACATAGATACAGGAGCCTTCCCAAGTTAAACATTTAGTTATTTTGCTGCAGTTTTTAATTGTATTTTGTTTCCATAAGTATGTATATAATTAAGTGGTAGATTTTATTTGATGCTCACTGCAGTGTTACAGAAACTGTAGCATGTAAAAAAAAAAAACAAAACAAAAAAAACCTTACTCAGAAACCTGAGGTTGCAATGACAACAAAGTAGACAATAACAGTTTTTTTCTATCCTTCCTGAATTACTTGTGGTTCTCCTTTTCATTGTCCTAAAGCAGATTATATCTATGTTATGAATCTCTTTTTGGAAGAGATGTCTGTCTGCATCAGAATGGAGGCTTGGTTCAAATGCAGATTTCCCTAACTCTAAGGCACCTGCCCAGTAAATGGGAAATGAAGCCCTGGATCTGCGCTTGTAAGAGTTCTCTTTTCCCTGATAAATCAATGGCTGTGAAGAAGTTGGTCCAGGAACCCATGTCTGAGGACCACTGCTTAGGAGTCCCACAGATTCCATGGCTTGAATATGGTTTGCCACCTCTGAAATTCGTGTTGAAATATGATTCTTAGAGTGAGGGCTTCAAGTGGTGGTTAGGTCTTTAAGAAGGGATTAGATAGATCATTAAGAGGGAGTCTATCTGAAAGGGGGTTCATTCTCACAAGCAGGTCGTTAAAAAGCAAAACAGACTTTTGTTTATTTTGAGGGAAGAAGGTACTAGAAATTGAACTCAGGACCTCACACTTGTCAGGCAGGTGCTACACCACTGAGCTATATTCCCAGCCTCAAGACAGACTCCTGTATTTTGTGTCTTCTACACGCACATCCCTAATTTCCACGTTAGGCCCCCACCAGAAGCAGAGCAGATGTCACTGCTGGATACTGGGCTTCCTGGCCTCCAGGTATTTTGTTATGGTAAAAGAAAGCAGACTAAGACTCAAGGTTAGTGCTTTGCCAAGAGCATTACAGATTGAGAAATGCTACATTAGGGTTAGCATGAACGCGGTGTTGGTGCTCCTCAACTGAACATTACTAAAACTGCTTGAGTTATTTTCTTCTATTTCTTCCTCTGCCTTATAAGATGTTCCCACTTGACTGTGTGGACTGTCTTGACTTTTTGTTAATTAGAAAAATTTAATGTTATCCATAATAGTGAGCATATTTCCTTATATTACCCCTCTGAGATGCTAATGTAAGATTATTGCTGACGGTGAGGAAAGCTTCACCTTCCAGAAAATGTGTTTATCCTAATTAACATGTAATTCTAAACAAATTCTCTGCTTGTGACAAGACAATATTCTCCTCAGTCCTGGTTTGGAATTTTCTTAAATGTAACTTTCTTAAAATGTAACTAGATTACATTCATGATTTATTCATGATCTATTCACATGCCTCTATCCACTCCCCAAATAAAACTGATGAAGAATGACCACTTCCCAGAAGTACACAATATTTTACAATCATAATGAATTCTACAAGTTTAAAGCCACTTCCTGCCTAAAGCCATCTCTGATCTCCCTTTGGGACTCCAGAGTGTGACTCAGTGTCTCTTGGATGGCAGGAGTCTGCCTACGTCTTACACCTTGACCCCTCCCCCTTTCCACTACTAAAGCCTGACTTTCTCTGAGGTGCACGTCATTCTCTACAATGCATTATCCTCCATGATGAAGAAGAAAGTCAGTGGTTACATAGCCTCTTTTCCCGGCTACATTTATTTATATAACCTTCAAAGTTCACCTTGACCTTTCACAGCCACTGTATGTTTTTTATTCTTTTCTCCATGGACTCACACAAGTTCAGCTTTCTGTGGTCCCATTTTTCCAAGCTACTTCCTGCTTGGTAGTTCAAAAACACTTCAATCTAGTAACTTCTGTTAATCAATTCAGGTAACAGCACACACGTCCAGTGCCGCCATGCAGGACTGCTCCCCTCTCAGCATTTTCTCTGAGTTAAGCTCTCATGTGAACCGCAAGGTACCTGAGAGCCAGGCTCGCATACCTCGTCCTGCAGGAGCGTCTTGCTGTACTCCAGGTGGTGCCTCTCCAAAATGGAAGTGCCATGCAGCTTGGCCAGTGGAGATGTGGACCTAGCAGGAAAAGGTTGCACTGTGACTTCAGCTGTGTGAAGATTACATGTAGTCTGTACAACACAGAATCTCTGTTATCTCAGGATTCTTCTTTTATGTCCCCTCTCACTCCCATCAAGGTCTTTGAAATTATCAAGAACTATATATTAAAAATGTTTTTTAGATTTAAAAGTGAGAATATACTATTTTTAGGATAAAAATACAATTTGTTTAATGCATGAACAATTGTTTACACAAGGAAGTTTGATTCATCCTTAGGTTCCCTGAGGTTTTTTATGGTGAGGAAATGACTTACAAAAGATGTAGCAAACTTATGAAAGTCCATAGATTATCTGCCTAAGAAATATTCATGAAGAATTCCCAGGAACCAAGAAGAAAATGACTGTAAGTAACTCTTCATTCCTCCCCAAGATAGTGAATGAATGTAAATTTCCCCATATGTGAAGGGTTAAGTTATAGCCTTATGTGAGGGGGGACCTCACGCAGTGGTGCTCTGATTCCCTTCAAAGCCTCCTCCCAGAAAGCAGAAGCCACATTGAAGATGTAAAGGAAATAAAATGTAGAATGGGAGTAGGGCCACAAGGGAAGAATTACCATGGAGACAAGGAATAAATAATTCTGAGGAAAGAGGAACTCAGAAGCATAGATGACAGCCTTAGAAAAGTTTCACTTTATTTTATAGAGGGCAGACCTTTAACAAATGGGAGATCCATTGGCGGGGGTGCAAAAGCCAACACACAGGCTGAGAAACATTAAACCATGTGTGATGAATATAATAATGGATGATTAATACATATATGAATGTCTATTATGTATCGGCATTGGATGTTTTTAAAAATGAATCAAATTTCAGTTAGAGAATGTAATACTTAATTCCTTTAGGTTTAAAACAACGCTTGATCATCATTTTAACAGGTTTTTGAATACTTACCCTGCACTAACACTGGATGTTTTTAAAAACTGAGTCAAGTTCAATTCTAGTTACAAGGGAGTGAAATGCTTCATTCCTTTAAGTCCATCAGTCAGATATGTAATTGGGAAGCTAGATATTCACTCAGTCTCAAAATAATGCTTCACATGTTACTTATTATTCACACAGGAAAAAACATTCCTTTACTTGAAGGGATTTTATGACGTCTTCCCTTAATAGTTTAACATCACTTTATAGCTAATGCACAAAATGATATCACGACCTCCTGGTGGAATGTGTGGAGAAAGATACAAGATGGTCTACGGAGAATTTTTGCCAACACTGTTTACCTGCATTTAGTAATCAAGAAATACTGGATAAATCCAAATAGAGGGACATTCTACAGAATAAATGGCTTAGACTCTTCAAAAACATTGGCACTCTGAATGATAAAAGAAGCTTGAGGAACTACTCCATATTAAAGGACTCAAAAAATCCTTGACAGCAAAATGCAATGTGTGATCCTAGATTAGATGCTGAATCAAAGGGGAAAATAGATCTAAAAGACATTATTGGGTTAATGGGAAAAGTTTAAGAAAACATTCTGTGTAAGATAATATTATTATGTCAGTGTGAAATTTCCTGAAGGTAGTCATTAAATTGTGTTTGTGTGGATGTGCATCCCCTTATTCTATGGAATGAATATTATGAATGAAATGTCATGATATCTGCAACTGACTCACAAATAATTCCATAAAAAGAGTTACACACACACTCATTCATACGTTTGTGTGTAGGGAGAATTTGGCAAGGATTTCCTAGAAAAAGTAATTTTCAAAGAAATTATTAAAGATTTCAGCATGATCTGGAGAAAAAAGAAAAGCACAAGAATCATAAATAATGTTCCATATTTTGAATTCTGGCAACAGTAAGCTTGAAGGTTTAAACATAGTTTAGATGACACTGCTGAAGCATTCAGCAGGGAAATAACTGGATGAAAGAACCTCAAGCAACAGAGGTGATGGTGTGATCTGATTGTTTAACCTACCAGGTTTCCCTGGCTTTCCAAGAATAACGTCTTGAGCAAGGGGTGGGGGTAGTGTAAAAACACTCAGCGGTCTTTTAATCCAGGCGAATAACATCCCTGTTTTCTGCTGGAACTTGAGATTGTGCGTGTCACGGGGAGTCACAAGGAAAAGATGGTAGAAGGCTTCGTATAAGCAAATTTTATCTTAAAACTTTAGTGGAAAATGGATGGAAAACACAGAGATTCATTTCAATCTCTGAAATCTTTTAGCTGATAACTTCTGAGTACTTCCAGAATAATCACCAGGAACACTGGGAGAGGTATGGAAGAGCAAATACCAGGACTGTGTTCTGAGCACCTCTGTGACAGCCTCCTGGGCCACCTGTGTGTGGGCTTCACCAGGCATCTGACGGGCGCTTTCTCTCCCTTCTCTGGGACTTGGGATGTTAGATATATCTACTTAGGATTCTCTCAGAGAGCTGGAAAGCAGAGCCCAAAGAGTGTTGCTTTGTTGATTAACAGTCCCATGCCCCAGAGCTCAGCCCTTGCACACTTTTATCAACCACTAGAATAAACATCGACAGAAACAATGACTATCTAATTTTTATATGATTTAAAAACCTGTATGAAAAAAACCTTAATTATACATTGGCTGACAGAATATAATTTAAAGATTTTGACTAAGAGTAGAATAAAGGATAAAAACTGTGAAGATGAAATTTAATTAGGATTAGGTATAAAGTACTTTAAGCCATGTCTGGATTATTGTGCTAAATTCCAAGACCCATATTTAAAGAATGACACAAAAACGCTACAGTGGGTTCAGAGAAGAATGACAAAATCATGTGAAAGAAGTGGTTATTTAAAAGTAGTTTAAAACCACTTCAACTTGAAAAAGAATATTTTAAGAAGACAAGCATGATTATTCTGTTTAAAATATGAAGGGATATCCTGTCTGAGAGAAATTACCCCTATTCTAGGCGATCCAGAGAGCTGAACTATGAGAAACAGGAAGTGAAGAGACCAATTCCAGTTTAGTATCATCCGGAAAACGTAGAGTGCTCTGCCTTGGAAGAAAGTGGATTCTGCACTGTGGAAAATAATCAGATATAGACTAGTGAACAGAGGAAGGTGTTCCTGGGAAGAGAGGCTTGCACTGGTGGAGAGTGACATGAATTCTAAAATTTCTAATAGTTTCTTTTTCTGATAACTGTATTTCTCTAGTGATTAGACAAAGAAGACAAAATACCAGAGAACTAAAACTAAACAGAGAAATGGGGATGCAAGGAATAAAGAAATCCAAAAACATAAAAGCAGGATATGGACAACAAACTAGATAGAGAAATAAAGAGAAGAGAAAAATTGGAAGGCATTATACAAATTTGAAATTAGCAAAGGTTCTAGGGTATTGTCAGAGCGCAGAGTCTAAGGCGGGGAGGTGAGGGTGGACACCAGAACCAAGGAGGCTGGACATTTGGAGACAGGAATCTGACCAAGGCCATGAGGTTAGGCCAGGGATCAAGGTCATTTGGGTCCCGAGCTGCTCTGGGTCACTTTACGGATGACCTCGTTAGTACAATGTGTATGAGAATAATTCAGTATTATTCATCTTTTTATTAACCACATTTTCCAACATACCATCTTAATATATTTGAGGATTTCTGAGCAATTCTTCCAACCAATTATGGAGACAGAGAGAGGCTCAGCAAGGATCATTTTTGAAGGACAGTGTGGTTGAAGGACAGAAGCTTGGTGGACCAGGCTAAGGCTGAAGCAGCCAGGAAGCCTTCCCATCACCTTTACATGCATGATCTTATTTAATCTTAACATTGTTCCCCATGGGCGGTTTATAAAAAAAACACTGGCTTACGAACATTACTGCCTCCACGGTACCCAGGCAGGGCAAGGGTGTGGGATGTGGCTCATGCTTCTTGCAACCCCGGAGGTGAGACCTCACACCTGATTCGCCTTCCTCCTGTCAGTGAGATCAAGTTTGAGTTTGTTTCCTCAGTGGTAAAAGAGAGGGCTATAGTGCCGTGAAGTTTAAACAAGGCAGTGTTATTAATGCGGTCTTCACCATACAGGAGATGCTCAATACGTGTTACTTTCTTCGGAGCTGAACTGGCTGACGTGCTGCTGATTGGGAGGAAGGGGGAGAACTCCGGTGACTGCCAAGAGACTTGGGGCCCAGCAGGCGGAGTGGCCAGTGCAGGCCGTGCTTCAGATGAAGTCAGCCCCTGCCCAGGCCTCAGTGGGGCTACTGTTGTTAAGGTGAAAGCAATCAGGTAATTGTTGAAGACAAGAAGTCACTGTGTAAAGGACTCTTAATTCATTGAATACATTTTTCTTGAGCAATTGCTATGTAGGTTTTACATCTCTAATTTCATTTGCTTCTTATCATAATCTTTTAGAGATAGTATTATAGCCAGTTCATAGCAAAGAAACTTAATTTTAAATGGAGATTAAAAGATCAGTTGGACTCCACAAATGCCACAGTCAAAAAGAAGTATTTCATGTTCAGAACACCTTCCTTGCCTCTGGAGAGGGGTAAGCCAGGGTCAGCAGTGAGGCCGAAGTGTGGCTGAGACAGAAGGAGCATCTCAAAAAACACTCTCGAGAGTGGACGGACCATGGGCACGCTGATGAATTTTGAGAAACACCAGTGACATCATAATAGATATAATAATACCTAATGTAATTAACAGCTAAGAGTCTACCATGAACAAAGGCTTTATATACATTCATCCAATTTAATCTTTGTAACGGACTTACCGGTTAGATTCTGTTATTACAGTTCCTATATTTCAGGTAAAATTGAGCCTTAGAAAGTTTAAATAAGTTGTGATCCCAAATTTCTCCGACCTTGATCAGACACCCTTATTTTTTTCTTACTGGTATTAGGATGAAAAAGCGTGAAAGGAGGTTTGGGCAGGTGCCAGAGGACTGAAAAGGGAGGGTAGTGAGCCCTGGAAGAAGTGCCCTCTAGCTGGAGCGGGAGGGTGAACCCAGGGGACACAAGTGTCAGCCCAGGAGGAATATACCTGAACAAGAGGCCAACTAGCTAGCCTTTCTGGTGAGCCGCACAAGCTGCACGGGTCCAGGAAGAGAAAAGTCAGACAGCACCTCCTGTGAGCCTACCCGTGCAGGCTGGGAGCCAACACCCCCACCCGCTTAGCAACTGGCAGGTGTGGAGGACAGGCTGAGCTGATAGCAACCAAAGAGCATAAAGCCACTAAATGCTTGCACTGTTTAGTTAATTTTTCAGGCCTGGGGCCAGCAGTCTAAGCATCTCTTGGGAGGATGACAGTATGCAATATAGCAAACATGGGGGATTTCCTTCTAGCTGATCTTTGAAATCCAATATTGTTCTCACTGTATTGCTTTGTTCTGATTAATTGGTTTTGCTTTATTTAATAATCTGTTTTGATTGATTTTATTCTGTTTTGTTTTTGGTTTGATTTTGCAATACCTGATGGAATGGATAACTATTGTGACTATAAGGAGACATGCGATGGCAGCTTCTGTTGTTTTCCTGGTATCCTGCTTTGAAGTTCTGTACCAATTTTGCTGCTTTGTTTACATTGGCTTTGTTCTGTTTTGATTTGTTGGATTTTACTATCTTAAAAAAAAAAAAAAAAACCACCCAGAAAGGATGAGTGCACCTTAGCATTTGAATCCAATTGCCTGAATAAGCAAAGCTGTAAGAAGAAACAGTGAAGCTATAAACAAATGGAGACAAAAAGGAGAAAGGAACCCAGCCGCGTGCGGAGAAAGAGCAGGTGTTGGCTAAAGGGCTGATGCTTGCCCTGGAGGGAACACACTGTGGCCATGGAATCCCCAAACATGGTGAAGAAGCATTGATTACATTAAGGGACAGGAAAAAGTCTTCTTCTGCTGCTGGGAATTTCCAAACATTGACCAGAACTTATCAGCATTGCTTTTATGTACACTTACTTCATTTGGTACAAATTATTGGTGCCTCGGTGGTCAATGTCATGGCAGAAAGCAGCAGCAACCATGGCAAAGGCTTCAAGATCTGTGTAGTATTTCTTTAGTCTTCCTGTCTAAAAAAATATAGAGTGATACATATTAACGTGGATTAATAAACATCCATTTCGAGTGCAGCACACCTGCCTGCAGTGGAGGAGACCTGTCAGGTTTTTACAGCAAGTGGGCTTTATTTCTTGAGAATTTTGTAGTATTTTGTGCAATTCTAAAACCTTACAAGTGATGACATTTTTCTTTAAGAGGTAAATAAGCGAATGTCTCAGTGATAATCCAAGTGCCTAGGGACACCCATGCTCTGAGCATCATCTTTGGGGGTGGGGTGGGTGGGGATCTGAAGTGATAGCAGTGTGTCTGTCACCACGCTCAAGTGGGACATGTGCGGGGTTTTGGCGATTTCCAGCACATCGTACTTACCATCAGCAGGGTGAACATGGTCTGCCCCACGTTGAATCCATGCCGCCAGTTGTGGTAGGTGACTGCGCGGTACCCTTTCCTCACTGTGTACATCCATCTGGTAAGAACCTGTTTCCCAAAGACAACACCATTCGGACTTTGGAACAGAGCTCTAAAGGTCAGGAGTCTGTGACAATCTTATCTGAAAAGAGGCGCTGGCCTTTGTGGATGGAGTTAAAGCTGATGTGTTTACAAAGTTAATTTAAAATCCAAACTGAGTTAGTCTTTTGAACCACAAAAGCCCTTGGTGAAGCACAAGGAAGGCAAACAGTGTTTTAAATGAAATCACATCTGACCTCTACAGGTACTTTGAATTTCTCCACCACATTTATTTCAAAAAACAGTCGTAGTCCACATTTAATCAGCTCGTGCTCAGTAATGGGAAAGTCGCTGAAGCGGAATTCATACAGGTCCACTGCCTTTGGGTCCGGCAAGTCCTCTTTCTGTTGGAAAGACAGATTGTCACAGATTATGTTCATTTTTCCCCTTCACGCTCACATACCCAACACTGAAGTAAAAATTACAATGAAAGAATACCACAGGCAAGTTTCTGAGCCAATATATGCCAGATCCTGGGTTATTCAGTTTGAATAGATTATCCTCAAAACAAAATACAAAATGATCCCCATTTTTAAGTGGTACAGCTAAGATTCAGCAGTACTAAAAAAGCTTTCTCAATGATCAAATTCAATCCCAAATCCAGTGCCAGTGGCTTTATTCTATAGTGCAAAATAAAATGGTCAGTGACAGCACTTTGCCACTTTTCACACCCAACTTCTTTTTTTTCCTGACCAAGAAATATTCAGCAAATGGTCGATGAGTGCTTAATTCCCCGGTATTCCCTCCATTTGCTCCGTGATGGTTTCCTATACTTTTCACTAGGCTGTGAGGTCCATAAGGGCAGGGATCATGCTTTCATTTGCTATGATAGCTCATAACCTGCATTGCCTGCCCCATAAATGTGTTCTGCAAATGTTTGTTGAATGAATGAATGAATGCCCCACAATATATAGGAATACTTGCAGACATTTATTTCAGCTCACAACTCATTAAGATTTAGGAGTTTGTGAAAAACTAGTGAATCAAGGCACATGAGCATTGATGTGACTTGGTAGGTATTCTTATGGATATGGATTTTGCTGTTAAAAAGCTTAAGTTATTGAAATTATTATAAAGTGCAGACGAGTGAAAGGTGAGTGCTCAGAATCATCAGAGAGCACAGCATCAAGTGCTGAGCGCTGTGAGGGGAAGAGCAGGGCTGAAGACGCACCGCACCGCGAATTAAAGGAGGAGGCTCCCCCGGACGTGGGTTAGGTTGAGCTGGTTGAAGGAAGAAAGGAGAGGTTTCATGGGGAAAGAAGGCACCGAGAGCCAAGAGTAAGCAACGGCTTTGGGTCTGCCACACAGATCCTCAGGGCAGCTCCGTCCAGTGACTGCTGGCAGATGCCGCGTGCGTCCTTGACACAAAAGCAGGAGAGTAAGCCACTTCCCTCAGTAAGCTTGCAGCCTCCTGGGAAGCAGCTCAGCCTTCCACACGAGGTGCAGCACCCAATGGGACAACTGCCGGCTCCTGGCCCCTTGGTGTCCGCGCCTGGATGGGACCCTCACACTCTGGCCCCCTCCCCGGGAGGCTCCTGCCCACCACAGCAGTCCCTCAAATGTGCACTCCCATGTGGAGAAACACACAGTATGACAAGCACAACTCTTCAAACTTGCTTAACTTTTGGGGTGAAAGCATTGTGAAATGGGGACACCCTGTGTCAGAGCCTCCCTGTGGATACATCGGAGGGTTACTTAAAGATAAAGGTGAAATTACTTTGGCTGCATGACAGGATCAGTAATGCTGAAGTATAAATGTGCATTTTAACAGCAACAAAGTATGAATTTCTCAGAATGATGTCATCCTGTCCCATTTACAGCCACAGGAAAGCCAGTGCAACACCACTGTTATTACACACAGGTTTAACTGTTATTAAACCACAGGTTTCGAAGAACCACAGCTTTTCAGATTATGATACAGAGAGACTCATAGAGACTTCTTGGTCTATTACTTCGGCACTCTGTCTCCCAGGGCAGGGTTTTCCTCCTCGTAGGAATGCACAGCGGAGGGCTGGTGGCGTGGAGGAAGCTGCAGCAGCCCACGTGGCCGTGAGGAGCCTGCACTCCAGCCTGGCCGGCCACATCTGCTCCCAGAGGAGTTGCATGACTCTGACCAGGTCATTTTCCAGGGCCTGGAAGCCAGGCTGGTCATAGTTTTGTTCAGCACCTGTCCTGGGCCTCTGCGGTGGCTTTTGTCACTTCTCATTGCTACTCCAGCCCCTTTCGGCCACTCAGGTTTCCGTAAGACAGCGCGCTGTCCCGTGTCACATGGCTAGTCTGCGCTGTGCTCCAACCTGCACTGCCCCCCACGAGGCGCGGCCTGGAAGCTGCTGCTCCCTTCAGGCCTCTGTTGTCTTCCTGTGACTCCATAAGCTTCCGAGCGTACATCAGGTTTGGCCCTCCGGGGCCGGTGCACATCTCCTGTGAGTACCTCCAAGCCGGGCGGTGGCTGTGCCTCTGTTTTCCTCTCCCTCATCCACAGGGGCTTTTTGAGCCAGATTGTATCTTTTGCCCTCTGCACCTGACGCTGTCTCTTGTAGTCTGCTATGTTTCAATAATTATGAAGCTGAATAAAGAATGAGTGAGTGAAGTGCTTCACTGAGGGTTCCTCTGCAAGTCTCCCATGGGGCCTCCGTGAGTGCCCAAGTGGCCTCTAGAGCAGGAAGGCATCAGTCACCTTCTGTGTCTGAGTCACAGCACTGCTATTCTGGTCCTTCCCCGTACAGACACATGAAACCCTTGTCACGCCTAGAAAAAAAGGCTGAGCCTCCCCTAGGCTGAGCCTGTGGGTAAAAGACACCCTGGAGAAAGGTCAGGGTGAGCAGACAGGGGCAAATAGGTGTATTTTTGAGAAGAAATGGCAATATAATTCTAGGTAATTCTTCTGATGGGCTTGTTTGTTTAAATTTCTAAATGTTATGCAAAAATGATTTAAAATTAGCTCAGAATATATTTTACACTCACAATACACTATTTTTGGTAAGTCTATGATACTTTGCCCAATTTATTGTTTCTGTCACATAAGCACCATCCTGCTCTACACAGGGAGCTGGGGAATTTCCAGTGTCACACTCATCAGCTCAGTTTTATTTCTCAAGAAGATGCATATCTGAAGAGAGCTGATGAGGAAGCGTCCTCTTCCAGGCCAGGTGACAGAGACAGCACTCAGAGGCTAACCCCAGGAAAGGAGAGAAAGAGAAAAGATTTCAGGTGATACAAAACATGGAAAGAGGGAGAACCGGATCCCTCAGCAAGGGCCAGGCCCTGTTGTCAGGAGAGCAAAGAGCCAGTATGGGAGGGCAGAGCGCATAAAAATGGAAGGGGGCATTGTGACTTTACTTGGAAAGAACTCTTGTTTCATGAACTGGATAGGAGCTGTGGCAAAGATGATTAAGTGGAAAACAAGAAATTAACTGTGATGTTATTCAGTTTCAATCATACAGAATTAGGTCTCTGAAATCTTGGCGAATATCCCCAGAGTCCATGAGATCACGGAACTCCAATCCAGAAACAGGGGCTCTATCCCAACAACAAGGGCAGAGACCATCCCCTCAAAGTCTTAAACCCACCTTCTTTATCTACCAGAAGAAATTCTAATCCTCTCTGTGGAAAGAAAATAGCACTCGGAACTTTCACAGGGTTTTATTCATAAACTTAAAAATTATGAACAGATTTTAAGATGGGATCAAATGAGTGACACCAATAATGTAAAAATGAACAGTAAAACCCAGCTACGAGGTGATTCAGGTATCAAGAGGAGTACTTTAAAATAATTATGATCAACAAATTTTTTTAAAACAGAAAGAAAAATCAGTAAAATGATGGGAAGATTAAGCATGAAGCTCGAACTTTGAAAAAAAATCAAATCATTCTAGAACAGAAAGAGACAATCTTTTAGACACCTATTGTGTTAACTGTAGAGTGAATACAACAAAGAAAAGACCAGCAAAGAGAAAGAGAAGTTCATTTCAACTAGAAAGAATTGAAGTGACCTCATGACCACAAGCAGAAAAAATGAGCAGTCTCCAAACTCCAGAAAAGAAGCCTGCGATGGCAGGTGGTCGTTGTGTCTTTCAGTGCTCTGTGTTCTCGTGTGACTGTGGCATGTGCTGGGGCAGCCATGCACAATCTAAGCTACTAACACACACGAAGCTATGATGACATTCCTCGATTCTGTGCCTGAGATTCCTCATGCAGGAGCCTAGTTTAGCTATGATTCTAAATTATATGTTAAAACTTAATTGCAGGGATCACAGAAGAAAGAAAAGCAGGAAACCAACAGATCAGTCTTTAGCAAAAATCTCTTGTCTTTTTGGCCCTGAAAAGTGTCAAGATAAAGGATACTCTACATTTTCTTGAAAACTGAGAAAGCATGTTCTAATATATCTCATTTAAAAGGCACTACAGATAGAAGGAAAACACTTACCAGAATTGTGATGAGTTGTTTTTCTTCACAGTCTTCAATCACATCTATATTTAACTTTTCTTTAAATTTCTAAAACATAAAGCAATTGAGGTATGAAATGCCTATGAAGATTTATGACTCTTCTACCATTAAACAAATTAAGATATATTTAAAATGTGATGCAAAAACTTCCACGACAAATACACATTCGGTATACAAAGACCTTATTATGAACAGTTGTATAGAAGAAATAATATAACATTATTGATTTCTTTGGTCTCCCAAATTGTAACAGGAGTGGGAGGAGAAGGAGAAAGGAGGAGGAGGAAGAGGAATTTCCTGGTATCTTGCTTTGAAGTTCTGTACCAATTTTGCTGCATCGTTTTGATTGCCTTTGTTCTGTTTTGTTTTGTTGGATTTTACTATCTTTAAAATTAAAAAAGAGAAGGAGAAGAAAAAGAAGAGAAGAAGGAAGAGAAAGTAGATTATACATATGTAGGTAAGAAAGAGAAAAAACCAAGCGGCTTCCATCCATTTTGCTAATACCTGATAGCAATTTCCCATGAAACCTCCGCACATTCTCATCCTTAACCTCTCAAACACTCACACCAAGTGTCTTTTACCACCCAATCTTCTCACTTAGCAAAACCAAAACTGATCAAAACAAAAATCTTCCACACACACATTTTAAAAGTTGGGACTTTCAAGGAATAGGTACAGGGGGGATGTGATAATTTTCCTTCTTTTGTGGTGGTTGGAACACTTAGCAAAAACCCATGGGTGAAACCCCCCCTTCACCCATGATCTTGGTCTTGATCAAGTGATATCCTTTGATAAATGATAATTTCAGTGACGGTGATGTGAGTAAAGATCAGAAGTACATTTGCACAGTTTGTTTTCTTTTCTGCACTTCTCTCATCAGTGTGAGAAGAGCATTTATCAGGCAGGGATTAACCCGGCCACAAAAGATAACAGGCACACCGAGAAATCCAGATTCATAGCTTAGAGCCACACTCAGGCAAGGTAAAAGAAAGCCTGGTCAACCCCCCAACAATGCACTGAGAGAGAGTTTATTGCTGTGCATCATTGAGATATTATGATTGTTATGCACCATTGTACTATAATAGCTGACTGATTGCTATATTGCTCTTCCTGGTAATATTTTTGCCTTGCTGATACTTTTAAATTTAGATGTCACTGCATCAGCTCTTATGGATCCAGGAACTATTTTTAACCCTAGTGCCATTTCAATCAAGCAATTTAGACGCCATAAGGGGTCCATAAACACCAAGCCATCACGCTTGTCTTCCAACCTCACCTTCTCTGTCTTCCCCTCCTTATCACAGGCTAAACCTCCTCTTATTTGTCAGATTCCTAGGTAGTTAGGTGGTTTCCAGAAGCCCAATGACCAAAGGACTGAATTCTCCACTTACCAAAATAGACTTAATTTCATCAGCAGTTGCCTTGGTCTGGCTCATAAGCATTTCCTGAGCAATGTCTTTTCTGTTTTCCAGTTTATTCATTTTCTCATAGGTGTCAGTATTTAGGAGAGACCATCCAAGAAATTGTGTGAGAGTCTGAAATGTACGCAGGTGATTTAGATTCTGCACTGTTGGAGGGAAATTGATTTGGAGGCACAGTCTGCATACATTCCTATCTGTCAGCCTCTCTCTATCACCAAGATGCCAGTTTTTTATTTCAATATAAGAAAAACTGTTTGAGCGTATTACCCTAGACAATAAACTCTGCTAAGCCCTTGGTTTTCAAGGTGCCATGCATCATGAATCTTCTACTTCCGGGGAAAAATTAGAAACATTCGTAAAATAAAGCAGGTCCTAAACATTAGACAGATGAGTAAATGAGCTGAGAATGAGGGAATAGTGAGGAGGAAGGAAAAAGACAGAAACATTCTTTCCTATTTTTCTAGGATTAGAAAAATATTTGGGTTAGGCAAATTTCAAACTAATATAAATATTGCCATTTAAAGAAATTAGGAAATAAAAATGACATCATTTTGGTTATAACCGTGTGTGACTCATGTCTTAATTGCTCTTTAAAATATCATTTTAGAATAACAAATAATTATGCATCCTTCATTATTCCATGAATTTCACTTACCCCCGTTATTTTATCATCGTGTTTACCTCAGTAATGTGTTCATCATGCTCATCAAAAGGTTTTCCATCCTTTCTGTTGTAAAATGTAGCCACTCCCACAATTTCTTCTTTCTTGTTGACAATAGGCAGGGACAAGACGTTTTTAATGACCCAACCAGTTTCATCTACAGGTCCTTTCTACAACAGTAAGGAAATAACTTAGTTTATTTCATTTTTTTACTTTTTAATTTGAAATAGTTACAGATTCATAGGGTGTTGGAAAAAATGTATGGAAAAGCTCCATGTTCTCAGTTTCTGCCAGGGGTCATGTCTTGGGTAACTGTCGTACAAAGTCCAAACTAGGAAACAGTATACAGTCTACAGAGCTTATTTAAATTTCTCCAACTTTATATATACTTACTTCTATGTGCATGTGCACATGTGTGTTTATAGTTCTACACAAGCTTATCCCACATGCGGCTCTTCAACCACTATTAGCATCAAGAATACAGAACATGCTGGGGGTTAGCTCAGTTGTGTAAGCAAGCGCTTGTCTGGCAAGTGCAAGGTAGTGCGTATATGTATATATATAAAAAAAAGAATACAGAACTTTTCCTTTCCTGCAAGACATCCTTGACACCCCACAACCCACTATTTAGTTTAAGTAAATATTTGAGTGCTATGTGTACAATTTCCACTTTTTGTCAGAACAAACTAAGACTGTACAGACATTATAAATGCTCTATGGCATCTAATCAGGTACAGTAGAACTAAAACCTTAACCTTTGTTCCCCAGCTTTCAGTGTTCGAAGGGCAAGCATTACTGCTTAATTTACTAAATTTCACATAAGGGGTGGTGGAATGGTGCTAAGATATAATAGTTGTCAATAAATAATTTGTTTTCAATAAAAATAAATAAATAACAGTGTTCTCAAAATCTTCATGACTGAAAAACTCTGAGAATTCTTTATATACTTATACCATGGTATGGATCATGGATAAAATCATTAATGGAAAATATACCCTGCATACATGCAAAATAACTTCACAGTCTTAAGTATGTATTTGTATTTCTTAAAACTTTCAAAATAAAATAAGCTTCATTGACTGCTTTGTGATGATTTTTGTTTTGCTTTTATTTTCAAAATTTGATTCTCACCCAGTGCCCAAGCCAGTCTTGAAACTGTGGTGGACTCAAGTGATCCTCCTCCCTCAGAGTGCCCAGGCTAGAGGGATGCGCCATCATACCTGGCATTCTTGATGTTTTAGCAAATATTTACTTGTCATCTGTTTTATTCATGTGTTTTGCCATTAATTAGAGTTTTTGACAGCAAAGTGATAGAAGGAAATTAAGGTTTAAGGAAAAATAGTAGGATTAAAAACTTAAACCTAAGAAAATTCTATGAACTTTCCCCCCATGAAATGGGGTTATTATAACTAATTTTAAAGGAACATGTCAAGGAATAGTGTGGTAGATAGAAAACTAATCTCCTGTAGATATCCACATCTTACTCCGTGGAACTTGTAGATGTGATATCTTGACATGGCAAAAGGGAATTAAAGCAGCAATTAGAATTAAACTAATTCTAAGATAGATTATCCTGGGCTTTCCAGGTGAGCCCAAAGTAATGAAAAAGATCCTTAAAAGTCACAAGGGAGAATGAAGTCAAAATCAGAGAGAGAGATCATGACCCACATGGACAGAATGGTCTGATTGCTGGATTTGAGGACAAAGTGGCCATAAGCCAAAGAACAAAGGTGGCTTCTAGGAGTGGGGGAAGCGGAGAGGCGGGTTGTCCCCTAGAGCCTGCTAAGGGGACACAGCCCTGCCAGTACCTTGGTTTTGGCTCAATGTGACCCACTTTGGATTTCCTATTTATTTGGGTTGTTTTAAGACACTGAGTGGTAATGTCACACCAGCAATAACATCAAATATAATATGCCCCAAAAGCACTGTTTGAGAACCACTGCCTTTGCAGGTTTGCCCTGACGGTAGCTCATTTTAGATTATTGGCTTTTTTTTTTCTTTCTTTTTTATTGGTACTGAGGATCGAACTCACGACTGTGCGCTTGCAAGGCAGACGCTTATGCTGCTGAGCTAAATCCCCAGCCTTGATTATTGACTTTTCTATCAAACTTATCCGGTGTAAAAAGGAACAGTGAAAACTGAGGTATGGTGTGAGCAGGTAGAGAAAAAATGGGAAAAGGAGGTGGTGGTTTAGGGAGAGAGGCCCCCCCTCACCCGGGGTCTGCTCTGGCAAACAATGGACAGGTGATGCCAGTAAGGGAAAAGAAGAAGGAGACTCAGCGGACGGAGAAGGCTGCTACACATGGCTGCAGTTTGGGTCTGGGCTCAGGGGAAAGGGCAGATACGGTAGGCGTTGGAAGCACCTTGAGCACAGCACAGTTCTAGAATAGTCTGCAGGGCTGTCAGAGGTTCCTGGCCGATGCTGCCTGTCAGAAGAGCCTGGTTACACCCTGGGGCGGGCCTGCATTGTCATCGACTGTGCTCAGGTACTGGCTGGGAGCAGCCCAGGGAGGGCCAGCCTTAGCACAAGCATGAGGCGGGCTGTGAGTGCCGCAGCAGCGGATGGCTGGGGCTCCGAGATGAGGCGCCCGCCCGTGGGCGCCACACCAGGAGAACTGGAGAACTGAGGAACGCCCATGGACTAGAAGACTGTCACCCCACGGGGAACCCCTCAGCCTCCTCTCAGCTTGGTCAGGGAGGCTGCCGCAGGAGCAGCACAGTGCAGCGTGAGAGAAAGAACAGCTCCCCAGGCATTAATAAGCACCTGATTCTCCTGGGCCAGATTCGTCTCTGCTGCCTGTGCAGACAACACTGCTCAGGCTCCAGACACATTAGGAAGCCACTGTCCCCTTTTATTAGCTATGCACTCTGCTCTGGAAACCACTTTCCACAGATATAAGGCTCAGGGTGGGCCCACTGTAGTCACAAGTGGGTTTCAGTTACAGGGAGAAGTGAGAGCCACTACAACCATCCGGTATTTACGTCTTTCCATGTCAGTAAGTAGAGGGAGTGCAGGAAGATCTGGGGACCCGTCCCCATCACCACGCAGGTATGACTGACTCCTGGAGATGCACCACTCACATGGCAAGGAGGCAGGGCAGAGATGGAGCTGGGGGTTCAGGGTGGGGACCAGAGACATAGAAAGACACACAAAGGAAACAGGAAGATGCCGAGCATGGTGCTTACCAGGGAGCACAGCCTCTGGGCCTCCCTGGCCTGAGGACTCTTCACTAAATGTTTGTTAACTGCAGGACGCAGAGCAACCAGTGCCAGCAGGCAAAAGCAAGGAGCTGGGGACTTTATCTGCCATAGTCCGAGAGGGATGTGGCAGGAAACAGGTGGAGGCTGGGAGGGGTGGCACGTGGAAGAAAGGATGGGGTGGGGCGGAACAAGGCCGTGGCCTGGGCCTTTCAGTGAATTACATGAAGTTGGAAAGGGGAAAGAGAGCCCTCAAGTCCTACAGCCAAACCCAAGCAAAAAGCCACTGTCTTAGTCCATTTTCTGCTGCTATAATAGAAGAGACTGGTGAATATGAAGAAGAGAAATTTACAGTTCTCATAGTTCTGGAGACTGAGAAGTCCAAGATCAGGGCTCCGCCTCCTGGAGAAGGCCTTGCTCCCCACAGTATGGTGAAGAGTATCACCGGGTGAGACGGCAGACATAAGCTTGAGACTCACTGGTTTCCTACCACTAATGCCATCTTGGGGACATCACTCCCATGCCCTTATCTAATCGCAAAGACCCATCAGCTAGAAGCTGGGGATTCAGTTTCCCACACATGAACTTTAGGGGACACATTCAAACAACAGCAGCGTGATGGTAGGGAGGACGGGGTCAGCCAGGCCGGCAAACACAGGGCAGTTGGTTTGGGAGTTGTCTGTGGTCAGCAGAGCTGATTCTTCAGGAACCGGCCTCTAAATGTTAGAGGAGAAAGATAAAAGGCAGGAACCCAATGAAAATAATTTCTTTTGCTCTCAGAGTTGCAATAAGAGGCAGGGAAGGGTTGTAGAGAATCCAGCATCAGGGCTGGATTCAGGTCACAGGATGTATCCAGCCAACTGCTCATGCAAAGAACATTTATGGAACATCGGTGGTGTTTCAGGCTCTATGGTTGCCACCAGAAGACTAAAAGCGGGAGAGAAAGGGGGAGTGGTAGTGGTCACTGTCTCCTCCCGTCCTTCCTTCCAGCTCCTTTTTCTTCATTGAAGAATCTGCTACGTGGTGGCCACTGGTCCAGCCCGGTGAATGGAGCACAGGCCCTGAGTCTGCCTGCTGGCCGTATCTGACCACGTGGCAGTCTCCGGGAAAGAGGGAAGAGAAAGCATCTGCTTCCCCCTGCAGCCCTGAGAGATGTGGCGTGCCGGTAGGCAGAGGGCACAGGGCACAGTTACCTGGAAAGTGAAGTATTCGTCTGCAGGGGCATTCAGCATGTTACATATCTGTAAGGAAGAGGGGACAAGAATCCTTCTGAAACATCTTGTGGCAGAGTCACTTAAACCCACAACGGAGAAAAAGAGAGACTGTGTCAGGAATGCTTATGGTAAAGTCACCCTCCTGGACTTTGGTTTGGCCTGCTTACTGACCACCCGTTGAAGTAGCTTCTCTTGTGCTTACTTGCTGGGTGGCAGTTCACACCCTCTTTATCCTCCCCAATCTTTCAGCTATCAGCCAACCCCTTTTGAATTCAAAACTACTAGCTGTTCAGGCCCAGGGGAGAAGGCTGAACAGAAGGGTTATGCTTCTGGGGCAGGCGTGAGCTGTGACACTACGATTGGTCTTTTGGTTTTTTCCTCTCCTAAAGTGGGATCCAACTAAGAAGGTATCTTAGAGGAAAAAGGAGAAAGCCACCCAGTCTTTCAGTTGCACCAAAGTAAAGATTCCCTGGAGAGAGGATCACTTTAACTGCAGAAATTCGGAAGCTACTGTTCACATCCATAAAGATAAGCTGTCATTCCATTGTTGCTCAGTCTAATTTATTTGTAGTTTGGGTCATTTCCACAAATGGGTCTTAATAAAAGAATGTCTTTCTTCCCATCAATGTTACAGTAGATACTTAAAATCATAGAATTTTAAGACTAAAAAAAATTAATGATTAAATTGAAGCTTCTTCATTTAAAGATGAAGAAATGAAGGTCCAAAAAGGCTAAATTAAATGATTTGTTCAAATTCATGGGGACAAATCACTGCAAGAAGAATTGGTGGAACTGGCCCTCCTGGGTAGGGGTTGGGAGAGCCTTAGTTTGTGTTTGTTGACCACTTGCATAGTGTAAATATTCCTACCATGGAGTATTAAAATGCCAACAGTTTGATGACTTAAAAAATCCCTGAATATCTAATAGTCCTGTGAGTTCATCTGAGTGGGCCCCTTACCTATCACAGCAAACCCTCCTAACCCGGTGGTCTCAAGATAAATGCTTTCTAAAATGTTTGAACCACATCAGCTACTTTTGTACTAGTCTTACAAAGAAAATGCAAAAATATTTCAAAGTTTTTATGAGCATTTATAACCTAAGAATTTAAAGAATAATTTGTGCCATCCATTATTTTTGTGAACTAACTTGAATATATGACATCATTTTATGGGCAGGGCATCCTTCAAATGTGCTTTAAAGAGGCCAAAAAAAAGATTATTTCCTATTTCTGACTTTTTTGTCAGCAAAATATGCCTCACGTTATGTTTGGGTCTCCAGAGAACATCTGGAATTGGATCAAGATCTTAGAAACCCAAACTTACAGAAGTGCTCACCCTCTCAGACTGGCCATTTCTTTCTTTCTTACATATTTCAAAAATTAATCAGCATACTAGAGATAAAATTAAACGTAGAATGAATCATAGTTGCAGACTTTAAAAACTTTGTGTGGCTTCAGAACAAGCTGAAGGATGGATGAATCTTTCTCACGTTGACTAAATGTTTTTATATAGAGTTTCAAAGTCTCTGGTTAACCTGTATTCCGCTGTCAAACCTCTTCTCTCTTGTGTCCTGTTCTAAAGGAAGTGATCATCTCACCTTTTGTAGTGCATTCCTCTTTGACAATGGTATCTATTTCTTAGTTAATAAAAGTTTCATGCCATATATCATATTTGTCCAATAACTTACAAATCCATTTTCAGCAACATACGTCGGCAGTCCACTAACGAGAGTCCAGTGGTCTGCAGGAGGTGTCCTTGAAGAAGATGAGAAGAAAGAAAATTACTGCTGTAAAGAGAAATGAATAGTGTGCAGAAACAAAATAGCAATTCCTGGGCCTACTTGGTAGCAATACTCACGGAATCACTTTGATTTCTTCTTTTCCATGTAAAATGTAATCAATTATTTTATAAAAGATTATTTCCTAAGAGACAAAATTATGAACATAGTGTTATTTTCCAAAGAAAACACTTTTCCTTGAAGGATCCATACTTTAAAAATCATGCAGTACCTGATTTCCTAGTCACATTTTTCTGCATAACAAAAATTACTCCTACTCACAACCTAGCTAAAAGTTGGTGACAAAATCTGAAATACTGAGTATTTATGTTCATTTAGGCTGAACTGAATTTCATTTTTAAGATGTTAAATCACCCAAACAGCTTTTGGAGAAATCTTAGACTACCAAATCACCAGCTTGTCTGTTTTTATTCTTAACGGATCCCTTGTGCTTCTGCAGAAATATCTGATGTTACACAGTTTCATTAGGACACAGCAAGCCGTTTCTCATTGCCATCCACTGTGCATCACGCACAACGAGCACCCAGCCTTTTCCAGTCGTGGCTCATCTGGACAGGCACCTGAGAAGCCAGGTTCAGTGGACCCGCTGTCCGCACCAGAAGGGACAAGGAGCACTAATCTCCCTGCTTCATGGGCAGATGGAGAGCCCGAGGGGGGACACACTCCTGCTCCTGCCCAGTCAAGTCTCCTTCCTGTGCGCTGAGAAGATAGTGGCAGGTAAGCAGAGGTGGGTCCAGCCCCATGAAACTTTCACTCAAGGTGAGAATGCAGTCAGTCATGCCTGGCACTCATGATGAGACCACTGAGTACCAAATTTTCCCAAGAGAATTATGTATTTATTTCCATTTTCCCTCAATTCTCTCTTTTCTCGAGGAAGGATTTGGAGGGAGCAGGGAGAAGATAAGCAGGGAAGGGGACAAAAAGAAGTAAGATGTATTATGTACAAGTACAAATATCTCACAATAAATATAATCATGCACTGTAAGCATATACTATTAATACTAGTAATAAAAATACATAACTTAAGAAGAAATAATGTATTTAAAAATAACTCATGAAAGCTTCCCAGAACATTCACATTTTACTGAGTAAATATTAACCTTTTATTAAAAGGCTGATACAAGCCTTTAAGGCTCAGTAGTATCATTTTAACCTTTTTTCAACTCCTGAATAACACTTAAAATGCACAAAAGTGTAAAACAATAGCAACCAATGTGTGGCAGTTCTATGCTGTCGAGGACTCTGTGAGCCGACACCGCTGGGCGCTGGAACTTGTTTTGTAAAAATGCATTGAATACGGGGTTGATGAGTTCTGATCCCGAGGAGCACTGAGGTGCGACGCTAACTCTAACCCAGTCCCTCCCTGGAGATACCGCTCCAGGCTAACTGAGAAGGGCCTGCGCTCTTCTTTAAAAAGTTGTGCAGTTGGCACAACTGTTGAGAATCACTGCTCTGCCACACCTTGGTTTTATGCAAAGGAAAACAGAGCTTAAACAATAAATTAAAGAGAGATTCCTCCAGCTGGCTGGAGCAGAGTTAAGACTTGATCCTCAAACTCTTTGTTCATTGCTGTTTTTGTTGCTTTAAGCCTCCATAGAAATTTATAGGAAGAAAACCCAGAGCTTTCCAGGCCTATGACCTTTTAATTTTAGCAGTCAATAACATGCACAGACAGCATCAAGGATAGTTTTTGCATTTACCCTGCCATCTGGTGTCTTTGGACCTTTGTAGGGCTCCACTTCTCCAAGCTTGATAGGCCATTCATCATAGAATTCCTGGAGGCAATCATATTAAATGTTATTAAACAAACAGTTGATGACTCATTGTGTTTTATTTGAATTGTATGTGCTTGTATAGTTTATGGTGATTGATATAGTTACAGAATTTTAGAACTGTGACCTGTATTCTCAGTAACAATGCTCATGAACTTTGTCAGTATGAATAAGAAGTTTAACTTTTGCCACTGTAAAAAGAATTAACATGAGTGGACTGTTGTGAGGATTAAATGAAAAATACATGTGAAATACCTACCCTGGCATAAAAAGTACTCAATGTATAGCAGCTTTTTCAATGACAACAAAACTAGATCCAGGTAAGTTAAGAGACTGGGCCAAGGTCACTCAGAACAGCTAAAAATATCAATTTCCTTACCCAGCATCCATTCTCCCTTCATTTGGCTAGCAGAACCTGATTTTATATGGGTACCAAGTGGTAATCTGTTCATGGAAGATGGGTCCTTTGTAGCCCATAAGTAGTCTGATTGAGGAGCCTGGATTAAATGGAAGGGAGGTATGTGGCCCATTCTGCCTAGTGAAGAAGCAAAAATCTCCTGAGGATGATTGGAGAAAGGTATTCCTCATGTGAAAGGTGATAAAAGTGACATTTTCCATGTCTGTGTACCACCCTTTAAGCTGCATCTTGTTCCCATAAGAAAACACCTCACAATATACTACAGGTAGCAAAAACCTTGCTAAGAAAAAATGGAAGGCATCTGAGACTTTGGTGACTGTACTAAGCTCTAAATGAGCCATTCCTAGAACATCCCTGTCTTGGGACTCCTGTTATTTTGTTAAAGATGCTTTTAGCTGGATCTGATATCCTTTGTAGTCAAAACCATCCTGACCAATATAGTTGACTAGAAAGTCCCAGAGCCAGAATCAGAACCCACCTCTCCTGATGTCTGCTCCTAAGTTTGTCCACTTAGAACAATTACTCTGGAAAAATAACTGCCAATCACGTGGATAGCAAAAAATATAAATGATGCAATATCAGTCACGTTCACCTGCCAGACCACCAACAGAATTACAGATGAAGAATGAGTATTACATTGTGAATAATAGTAACTGTTTCATTATTTCTACTTTTAAATAGTTTAAAACTTTTCAGAATACAAAAATGTCAAAGTATAATGATATGTATCTACTGTAATGCTGGACACTTTATGCATGTTATCTGAAATCTTCACAGCTGATAAAAAAAATACCCTCATTTTCAGATAAGAAAACCGAGAATCAGGGAAAACCAAGAAAAACTTGCTGAAAAGAAGAAAACATTGAGAAAACTGACACTACTTGACTTCAAGACTTTCTATAAAGCTATAGTGATCAAGACAGTGTGGTAATGAGAAACAAATGGACACATGGGTCAGTGGAGGAGAGGAGAGAACCAGAAATAGGCCTACACAAAGATAATCAACTGACCTTTGGCAAGGAACAAGGGCCATCAGGAAGGGCTAGTTAGTCATTTCAAGAAATTTTGTTGCTATAGTTGAACATCTACATGCAAAAAAGAAAAGAAAAAAATTCTACAGAAAAACCTTATATCTTTCATTAAAAATAAGTCAAATCATGGCCCCAAATGTAAAACACAAAATTATAAGTATTCTAGAGGATGATATAGAAGAAAAATCTAGACAAAAGATATTCTAGATATAACATCAAAAGCATAATCCGTAAAAGAAAAAGTTTGAAAAATTGGACATTTTTAAAATTAAAACCCTATGCTTTGCAAAAGTTTCTGGTAAAAGAACAATTGAGAGAAAATATTTGCAAAATCCACGTTCAATAAAAAACCTTGTATCCAAAATATGTTAAGAACTTCCCCTGCTTGGGCAGGGGGATATGAGATCCTGTTCTATTGCCCTGATCTTGAACGCCTGAGTCCAAGCGACCCTCCAGCCTCAGTTTTCCAAGTGCTGGGATTACAGTTGGTTGCCACCATACATCATTGCACCCTGCTGCAAAGAACTCTTAAAACTGAATGATAAGGAAACAAACTCTTAATTAAAACGGGCAAAAGAAGCAATTCAAATGGCAAGTAATCCTGTGAAAAGGTTCTCAACATCATGTGTTACTGGGAAATTATAAATAAAAAAAATATCTATTACCATCTCCACTAGCATGTCTAAACCCCAACATGCTGATGCCACCAGCTGCCGATGAGGTAAAACAAGAACCCTCGCATTACTGGGGCTTAAACAAAATGGTAGTCACTTGAGAAGACACACCAGCAGTGCTTACAAAGATGAACATAGTCTTACCATACGATCCAGCAATTTTCCTCTTTGGTATTCGGCCAAGTAAGTTGAAAACTAGTGCATACACAAAAACCTACATAAGCTTTATTAACTTAAGTTTATCAACTACTTTAAAGGACACTCTGATGCAGTTCTCTAGATTTGAATGTTTCTGGAAAATTGCCTCAAATTAGAATCAACCAAGATGTGCTTTAATAAGTAAAGAAAGAAATAAACTGCCTTACAGTAGGATGTTATCAGTGATAAATAAGTGAGCTGCACCCAAGCTATGTAATCAACCTACATACCTATCAATGGATGAATGGACAAAGAAAATGTAAAATATATATATATTAAATTACACATTATGTGCATATATGTATGCGTACAATTCAACCTTTAAAAACAGGCAAATCCTGTCAATTGTGACAACATGAATGAACCTGGAAAATACTGTTCTAAGAGCTACAGGTACAAAAGACACTGCATGACTTCACTTACATGTGGAATGTTAAAAGAGTCAAACTGATTGAAGTAGAGAGGAGAATGGGGGTTAGCAGAGGCTGGTGGAGGCTGGTGAAAACAGAGGAGTAGAGGGATGTAACAATGTTCCAGCTAAGTAGGAAGAATATGTTCCCAAGATTTATTGTATAAAAAGGTGAATAATGTAAATTTTAAAACTTCCAGTCTATCTGCCAAGTGCAAGGTCGTGAGTTTGATTCCCAGTACAAAAAACAAACTTCTGAAAGAAGTTTTAAATATTTTCACTATAAAAAACAACAATATGAGATGATACAAATCATCTCATAATGTATACATATATCAAAATATCACACGACTATCTACAATTAGTTGTCAATCATAATTTCCTAATTTTTAAGAAAAAATTTTCAAGCCAGGCATGGTGATGCACCCCTGTAATCCCAGCACTCGGGAGACTGAGGCAGGATTGTTGTGAGTTTGAGACCAGCCTGAGCTATAAAGTAAGCTCAAGGCCAGCCTGAACTGCATAGAGAGATCCTGTCTCAAAAAGTCAAAAAAATTTTTTTTTCAAAAGTGAGTTATTGTTGAGAGCCTGGAGCTGAACACACCTCTACACTCTGAGACTTCTTACTGAGGGCTGCAAAAGATCCTCGGACAACCTCAAGCATTGCAATGGTAATACAGGAAATTAAAACACTAATATTGACTTCCGGGAGAACATGGCAGACAGACAACAGCAGCCACGGAGGCTCTCTGAGGTTGCCAGCCTAGAAACCAGGAATGATGGGGTGTGAGGAGTCCTACACGAGGGAGATGTACCCTGCCAACCCAAGAACGAACTAAGCTGAGAGAAACCAACTGGAAATGCAATCCCGGTGCTATAACAGGAACAGATAAAATCTCAGCACGGAAGGTGGAATCGGTGCCTCTGGAAGCCACAATTTGAATTTCCTGCTGCTGCAGCTGTGTCTAAATCAGCACAGCAGGGAAAGAGATGTTGGAAAGCTCTGAGAGCGGAAATCAGCGAACCAAACGGAGTTGAGAGCGGGACTGGCAAGGAGCCCTGCATTGACCTGCAGTGAGTGAGAGGAATGAGGCTAGCCTAGGAGCCTCCATAGCCTAGGAGCCTCCATAGCCTAGGAGGCTCCAACAGAGGACATTCTGGGACAGGGCAGACTAGCCAGAACAGGACACTGCAGTGACTTTAGTTGTATATTCCCCTCTCAAGCGGGATTGGTGGGGAGTGCTTGGCCTTGGTGACACTGCAGACTAAGATTCAGTAGGCTAGCCCAAACCAGGTCCCAGTGCCTGGCAGTGCACCCTAGCAGTGAAGCATTCAGTAGGTTGACCTGGAGGGGTGTGCCCAGCAGAGGCTGCCCAGGTCTGTGTCTCCCTAGAACACTGCAGTGGGCGGGAACACTTAGCCAGCGGATTCAAACAAACTGTAACAGACAAAGAAAAAAAAAAAACTGAGTCTCCTATATATGTTTGTATGGAAGGAACAAAAAGTATGGGAAGAGGGAGCAACAAGAAAGGGTCCTCAGGCCCCAATCCTGAGAACACTGATCCAGGAAAGGTAAATGCAAAGGAGATTGAGAACAGAAAACATGCAGTATCAGACACGGCACCAATAGACATAAAGCGATACTTCCAGAGCCTCATAGACGAGTTCAAAAGTGAAGTTTTTAATGAAATAAAGCAAGATATAAGTAGAATAGTTAAGAAATGCTAAGCACCACACACGAAAAAAATAGATTGTGGAATGAAAGAACAGAAAAAAAGGAGAGAATTGTTTGATGGAGAAAATAGAGAAACATAGAATATGTGAAGCAGCTTCTAAGAGATTACCAGGAAACTAAAAACTCTATTGAAAGCTGGCATAACAGCTTGAAAGAAACTAAGGATAGATTATCTGAACTGGAGGGCAGATTTGTAATATGGGAACATGAAATGAAAAACTTCTTAAAAATAATAAAGAAACAAACAGCAATAATACAAAGACTAGAAGATGATGAGAGGATCTATAACTTAAGAATTAAGAACATAAAAGAAGAAGTAGGGACACAAACAAATGAACTACAAAACTATTCACAGAAGTAATCCAGGAGAATTTCCCTAATTTAGCAAACGGTAAAGATACTCAGATATATGAGGCATACAGGACCCCAGCCAACTACAACCCAAACAGAGCTACACCCAAGCATATAATAATCAAAATTTCAGAAGTCTAATATAAGAAAAGAATATTAAAAGCTGTCAGAGACAAGAAACAGATCACTTACAAGGGAACACCCATCAGAATTACAGCAGACTTCTCGGCACAAACCATCAATTCACAAAGAGCGTGGGGGGAAATAATTCAAGCTTTGAAAGATAATAACCTCCAGCCAAGATTGATATATCCTGCACAACTGTCCCTAGAAATTGATGGAAAACAAGGTGCTTCCAGGATAAAGAGGAACTAGGGGAATTTGCAAACACCAATTCAACTCCACAGAGAATACTGCAGGATATTCTAAAAAAGAAAAATACCAAGATTCCAAAAACAGTGGCAGAGAGACCACAATGAATGGAGCAGAAACAGAAATGAAGAAGACAAACTGACAACTAATGACAGAAAAAGAGCTCAACAGAAATGAGGCACAGAATGTTGGATGGTAGGAACAGTTATTTTGGAGAAAACAAGACATCATAATAGGTAGTGCTGATTTAATATCATCTTGTTTTGAAGTCCCATCAAGCTTTTGTTCTTCTGCTCCATCGGTCTTAACACATTGGATTTTATTATATGTGATAATATAAACAAAAACTTTTATAGACAAGGAGATTATACAGAAACCATTGTTCATTTTCTGTTAGTTGATTCTAAATACCCTGTAATACTGTCATTCTTTTGAACGGTTTTACATTGTCTTGATATGTTTGATGCTACAGTATATGAAGTTATACTCAAAGATTTCAAGGAAAGAGACGCTATGGTAACTACTTTTATGTCGGGATATCTTGTGGTGAAACACTATTTTACTTAAATGGTTATGTTTTGACCTGCGCTGTTTTGTTGTTATGTCTTCTTTTATCTCAATCTCCTTTTTTTATTATTTACTTTTTCATTTTTATCCTTTTAATTAAGGGGAAAATAAATTTAAAATAGCAGGATATATTATAGTAACCCACTTTGATTTCCTATTAACTTGATTTGAAGCCCTGTATTGCTCTCACCATCTTGTTTTGACTGATTTCACTCTATTCTGTTTTGCTTGATAGTACCAAGCTCGAAAGTATAGGCAACAACTGTGAAGACAATAAGATTCATTATGATGCCCATTCTGGTTGACTATTATCTACTTTTGAAGACCTGTAATGTCTCCAATGTTTTGGTTTTATTGGCTTTGTTGTTTACTGTTTTGTTCAATTTTATTATAACTGATGATGTAGGCAATTCTTTTTAAGATAGCAAGAGGCAATTATGGTAACCAATGTTGATCACCTTGCATTTTGTTTTTACATTATGTATTATGTCCATCTTTTTGCTTTGACTGACTCTGTTTTGTTATGTCACATTTGGTTTTAATCTCCTCAAAAGAAAGTAGTAAGAACTGTGGGAGTAATAAAACCCAAAATGTGTGATTGTCATTGTAAAAAAGAGAGGAAAAGAAAGTGCTCTAAAGGATATAACTGCATGTACATTTAAGTGTATAAGATAGATTACCATATTACTGAGTTTTGTTGGATCATTGAACAGAACTGTTTACAGTCTCACTGTTTGAATGTCCACTTTATATGCTTTAATTTTGTAACTTGAACTACTATTTCTAAGATGACAATATGTAATCTATTAACTAGTGATTTCCTACTATTTATTTTTTCTGAAATTCTGTATATCTTGTACCCTTTTTCTGTTTTTTTTTTCATTTTCTCCTTAAATAAAATTTTAAAAAACCACTTTAAAAAAGTGAGTTATTGAGACATGAAAAGATGCAGAGAAAACGTAAATGCATATTGTTAAGAGAAAGAAACTAGTCTGAAAAGTTACACACTGTATGTTTCCAGTTGCATAGTATTCTAGAAAAGGCAGAAATATATAAGAAGCTTTAAAAAAGCATGGGTGCCAAGGGTTTGGAGAAGGAGCAAGAGTGTTAAATACATGGAATTTGGGATCTGAAGAGATCAGAACTGGGATCAGAACTATTCTGTTGGTATTTTCATAGCAGATATATGACATTATGTATTTTTCAAATCTAAAGAACTGTAGCAAACAGAGTACTATTACACAAACAGTAAACATTAGTCAATAATAATCTATCAACGTTGAGTCATGAGCTATGATAAATTTACTACCTTAGAGCAAATGCTAACAAATGTACCACAATAAGACAAGATGCTAACAAGAGTAAACTGATGGCAGGAATGTGGCGGGGGCAAGTATATTTATGGGATCTTTGTACTTTCTGCTCAATTTCTGTTTATAAAACTAAAACTAATCTAAAGTTTAAGTATCATTAATTAAATTTTAAAACAAAAATGACTTGATGAAGATAGAAATAAGGTGTGGAAACGCCAAAGTTCAAACCTACACCACTTTCACCCCCAAATCACAATGTTACCTCTGTATCAACCTTTTTGACTTTACTATTGTGACTCATTATTTACACAGAGTATTTGTTTCTCAGTGGATAAGTTGCGTTTGACAGTACTTTACAGGTGATTCTGAGTGAGACAGGATGTTTAAAACAGTGAGACCTTCTCTTTGGTCATGTCCAGCAGTCCAATGGAGTATCGTTCACAGTTCAGATATGTTCTCACTGTGTATAGTGCTTTATGAAACTGTCTCTCAACATCTGTGAGCTCTTCAAATACTTTATTGGCTGACCACATAAGGATCTGAAAGTAAGTATTAAAAAGAAAAGTTAGAACCAAACACTATAGAGAGGTAAGCATTTGCTCAAAAAAAAGAGGTATATCAAACAAACTAAATACACATGTGAATCAAATAAACTGAACACATATCATTAGACAATGCAGTGCTATTTGAGCATCCATATATCCAACTACTACTCTGATTCTTTAATTAGGATTTTGAGCAGAATTTTGCAAATTCTTGCATTTATGGAGGAAGCAAAGCCATAGTTAATCTCCAAATGTTTTGGATTCAAAGGATGAATGCTCCCAAGGCGGGCACAGAGACAGCCCTTGGGCGAAGGGTCCGGTATTCGATACCCTTTGGCTCTTGCTGGTTCCTGTGGAAAGCCACATGACTCTTTCATATATCCAGAGCTGCTCAGAGGTAGCCTGGCCTGGAGTGATGGGATGGGAAGGACTGCAGAAGCTCTCCACCCTAATACCTACTCCTACATTGTAAAGATGAGGAAACTGAGGCTCCAGCTCAAGTACCCGCGCTACAAATATTTCTCTTCACCCTCTGCCTCATGGAGATAATGCATCTCAAAGCAGCAATTTGTTCCTAAAACTAATAGCTTTATTATGACCCAGGAACTGCCAAGAGAGCGCTTCACGTGAGCACTAATGCCTGCTTAGCAGTCTCACCAGTCACATGAAGTAGGCATTAAAATTATCATCACCAGACCAGGAATTTAGCTTAGTGGCACAAGTGCCTGCCTAGAAAGTGCAAGGTCGTGAGTTTGATCCCTAGTTACCACCAAAAAAAATTACCATCACTGTCTCATAGGTGGAGAAGGCGAGGCCACCCGGGATTCGGACTGGAAAAAGCCCGGCCGGTTGTACATACCGATGGAAGGCTGAGGGGGAGGGGGAGGAGACCGTGAGAGGACACCGAGGTTTGCAGTTTGGGGATCTGCTCCCTGTAGCTTCGACCCCCAAGAGGAATGAGCAGAGTCCCGGGCTCGTGGCTCTGGGTCAGTTTGTCAGAACAGGTCAGCATGGAGTGACCGACGCCACTTTGCCTTTACCTGACTTCTTCTGGACTCAACGCTGTACAGGTAGTTAGTGTGCTGCAGCCTTAGGACTACAGAAACAAAGTGCAGGTATTTGGAAAAGACCTACAAGTGACAGATAAGAAGAAACTATGGCTTTAACACCTTTTCTCCTGTTGTACCACAAAATGTCCTGCCCCCCTGACAGGGTGCCCAAGGCCACCATTACCTCTTCATCCTGTCTGGAGAATTCTGATGCATTTGTTTTGTTTATTGCCATAACCACAGCAAGAACTTCCTTGCCCATCACGATTGGGGTTGCCAGCAAGTTCCTCGTGACATAACCAGTCTGTTTGTCCATAAAATCAGAAAAATGGTTGTTCTGAAAAACATATTCACGTGTTTACCAAAACAGCTCGGAAGCATGGAGCAGCAAATCTAAGACATTCCTTCTGATCCACAGTGTACCAATATGTAACTGAGGACCTCCCATGAGGGCGCCAAATGGGTACTGCTGCCCACACACCTCATCCCATGGCTGTGTGGGATGAAATTGCTCATTTCGGAATAAGCGGTCCCTGTGAGCTGCGGCTTGTCCAAGTTAGGCTGAGGCCGGGCCAGGGGGAAGCAGTGGTGTCACTGTCAGGTGGAAAGTGAGCGCCCCGGAGAAGGGAGGGGAGTGGGCAGCCCCGTAAAGAAAATGTGCAAAGGAGCACAAGCTGGGGTCACACACCGTAAAACTACAGCATGCGCTTGAAAGCCGTCCACCCATGTGCTGTGGTATATAAAAAATTAGTAATTTCTCCATCTTCCAGCTCACCCACTTAGGACAGTCAGTGTTAACTATGTGGTATGTCTCTTTCTATGTTTTTTGTTATGCTTAGACAAAGATAGTCTTTCCTGCTTTTTGTAAAATTCGTTTTTCTAATTTTATATGACAGTTTCATGCTGTACAATCATCTTATAGACTTCACTTCCGACTGGCCCAGGTGGCAGTGAGCTCATTTCTTGGGGTCTCACACAGCATCCCACATTATGCCCACTCAGAGCTTTCAGGTGTCTTCTACTGACTCAGGATTCATAGTTTTCCTGCCACAGACAATGAAAACTGACTAATCAATCTTGATTTTGTTTTTATGTTATAGACTGTCACCAGAAACCCTTTAGCCAGACCAATAATTTATATGCAATTTTATTTAGAACAAATCATTTTTATGAAAACTTGACATCTTGCTTCCACTGTGAGAGAAGACCACCCTCCTGCCAGCATCAGACACTTACCCATTTCCAATTATTTCCTTCCTGCCTCCCTCCCTCCCTCCCTCCCTCCCTTCCTTCCTTCTTTCAGACAGAGAATCTTCCCAGATACAGACCTTCTACAGTATATGCAGGAGATGGTTCTAGTGCCCTGGCTGTGGTATGAGCTGAGTGACAAATGCGAGGAATCTGCAGTTTCCCGTTAGCTGCAATGTCAAAGAATCTCACTCTAGATGGAAGAAGACCCATCCTTCCTTGAGCTCTGATATTCTCTTTGAGCCTGAGTCTTTTTCAATTAGCACTGAACTTTCAGCCTCTGAGACTCACTGATTAAAATTAAAATGGCATTCTTTTCTTTAGTTATGTTTTCATTGTTGATAATACTTATAAAAGCGTACAACTCTTGGGATGCTGGATTCTGTTACATTTCCCAAGGTAAAAATGAGTTCACTGTTCTGTGATTTCCAGGCAGAATTTCTAAGGAAAGTGTGGTTTGGTTACTAGCCATAGTCCTAGCTCTGCTCCAAAATTCCTAGCAGATAAATAAGGTTCCAAGACCTCACAGAAGACCCACAAAACCCTAAACCCCTAAGGTGGAATCTATATCCTAACATGTTTTTAAAGTTTCCAGGAATTTGTATTTCAATACAGATATTCAACTTCGCACATGAAATACTATCGTGGAAGACACCTGAAGACGGGACCATCCACGAGGCAAAAGAATGATGGTCAAGGAATCAAATGCAGCTCTTTACCCCAGATCTCTTCCAATCCCTTCTCAAAGCAGGTGCACCTGTTTTGGGGGAGGCAGAAATGCATATTGGAGAAGAAGGTTCTGGAGTCAGACTTCCAAGGCTGAGACCAGGCCTCAATACTGAACGCATCACTTGCCCTCTGTGCCCTGCTTCCTAATGTAAAAATGGAGAGAACAATCTTGTTTACTAACTAGAGCTATGATGTAATTACAGAACAACAGACCTGTGGGTAGGGCACTCGAAAAATTGTTTGACACATAGGAGATATTTGCTAAATACTAGAAAAATAAACTTAGGTCTCTTTTGGACTACCTTTCTTCCCTGTGAGAACTGTGAGAAACAGTTCACTTTTCAGGTACCATTTTGCTTCTGGCCCTAGATTTTTAAACCAATTCTAGTCACTGAAGAAATTAGATGCCCTTATCAAGGTGTAGACCTCCTGTGCCCAGAAGCACCTGCCTTTTGAGGGCCCAAGATCTACCTGCATTGCTGCATTTGTTTCCTGATTTATCTGCTGCTTCTCTCTCTGTGTCTTGAAGCATCTTCACCCTTTGGCCAGGTGTCCCCAGATGTTTTTAGATTTTTTTTTCTCTAATCCACTGCTAGCCTGTGCAAATTTGCATATTGTTTTCCTCTTATTATCCATTACAGATTGTGGTTACCTTCATTCAGGCAGCAGCTCTAGGCACTAAAGTATTAAATGAAATACTACAGAAATATATTACAGAATGAAATTAGGCAGCACTTCATACACATTTTACTCTCCTGCTTCAAAAGTTGTTGCTATCCTACTACGGACTCTAAGCAAAAGGATATGTTCTTAAATTCCACTGGATTTTTTGAGAAAATGACTTATAAGTTTCAAAATTTAATGCTTGGCTATTATTGAACCTGAAACTCTTGAATAGACCACCAATCAGATTACTGGGTAAGGAGGATTCCTAGTGTTTATTTTCCCAGCACAAACAGTCCTCAAGTTGCCTTGAGTAAATCCTGTGTTTCTGATGCCCGGATTCTCTAGATGATCTTTCCTCCAAAGAATTTCCCACAGGTAACCAAAAAACATTGTTTAGAGCAGCAGAATGCTGATCACTCCAGATCTCAGTGCAGCCTAAATCCTGAGTAAACATCTTTAACCCTGAAGATCAAAAAGCAGAAAGAGAGGAGGGAAGGAGAAGAGAGGGGAAGGAAAGAGAACTGCAAACACTTGGCTAATTATTAAAAACATCAACCTTCTCTTATGGCTTTCTTTTAAGCTATGGCCAGATTCAGGATCACCCATACTGTTAACGAATGGATTTTCCAATAAAGAAAAGAAACAATTAGCTTGAAGAGGATATTTCTGTTTCCTATTATTAAGCTTTCCCACCTTTCATCTGTTTTAAAACAAACAATAATAATCAGATTTTTTAAAAATCATCTATACCAAGCTCCCAAACTCCTACAGCATATCATGGTCACCATTATATAGAGCATCTATTATAGTCAGGCACTTTATCTGTATTTAATCTGTACCTTTGGTTATCTTCATTAATCGGGGGGAAATTCAATCCACACAGAGTTACTGAGCCTTAAACTTGGTTCTGCACCCAATTCTTTCTGATGCTAAAAAACTTGTGCTGCATCAAGTAGTTTCCCTTTATCGCCTTCATGGACCATCAAGGTTGGGAGCATCTGGTGTCTTTGTGGAATATTCTTGTCAGCTGTCTTTCTCTCACCTGCACCCACACTGCGAGCCAAAGTAAAATTATGAGGGGTTGGCAGTGTGGGGGGAAGAGGGAGGCACTGAAGAGCCAGGCTGTTGCTCCAGACCTGACCCGAAGTCTATCCTCACTACATAGATGGAAATACAAATAATGATCCTTGTCTCCTGCAAAGTCTTCATCAGAATCAAATAAGGTTACGAATACGAAGATATTTTATAAATTGTCGAGTGCTGCAGGGTAAGTGACGAATGAATCCAAAATTTCACTGAAAGCACTAGTTGCCACGTCTTTCTGGTTGCAGATTTTCCCTCAGTGCCTAAAACGCGGCGAAACTGGGCATGTGGGGCAAGTGAAAAGGCGGCGGCCGGAGTGGCCAGATGTCTCCATTCCACTGCCGTCCCCTCACTCACACGTACCACAGACTGTGGGAGAGATACAACCACGTGACCTCAGTTTCCCAACTGCTACATGAGAGTTGGGTTAAGGCACATCACACCCTGCCCGTCTCTAATATTCTACAGTACACTCAAAGGCTGCCTGTTCCTCCTGTGTCTGCACCCAATAGATCTGTTTCTTTCAACCATGGTCACACATCAGAATCACCTAAGGAACTTTAAAAATAATAACACACATGTCCCAGCCTACACTCTGATCTGTTGAGAGTCTTAAATGTTGATATTTTTTAAAAGGCCACCAATTTGACTTTAAAGTACAGAGTTGAAAAGCACCATTCTAGTGGGATAAAATGCCTAGAAGCTCCCTCTCCCAGCTCAGACGGCATCTGTCTCCAACACTCTCTTCTCTCCAGAACAGCAAGAATCCTCAGAATCGAGAGCTCCCCACACCACCAACTGCTTTCTGAGAAGCAGTTTGGACAGCAACTGGCCAAAACTGCCTCATCTTTTAAGCCACTTCAGACTAATTTTTTCCTCTCAAAATGGAGAACTGAGTATGCTAATGCTTTATAGCAGAAATCATCTTACCCATGTCTCCTAAAAGTTCTTAGAAACAATTTGTTTGAATGTCAATTTCTTAAGTTTGATATCCTAGTCATTTTGGAGGTGGACTCAGTTGGAGACTAAAGAAGCATATTCCCAGGAGAAAAATCTCAGCCCATGGGGACATAGTCTACAGCTAGGGCCAAGAGAAGGTTTTTGAGGTAAGGACTTGCTAAATTACTAAGTCCCCCCAGCAGGGCTTGAATATGTGATCTTCCTGCTTCAATCTCCTAGAGTGATTGAAAGGCAGGTGCATGCCACTATACCCAGGTAAATAAGTTTGTTTTTAAGAACCTCCATTTGTTTAGCTACTTGAGCATCTGCACATACCTCAAAGAGCAAGTTTAAACTGGTTCAAACTCTTGGAAGGGAGTGGTTTTAAAGAACCAAGACGCACAGGGCCTGCCTCAACCCTTGCACCTGAGAGGTGTCCTGAAGTTGCCTGCCCAGCGGTGCTAATGTTTGACAAACCGCTCCTCCCAGGTCTGTGCATCCTTCTCCTGTAATCAGCTTTAAGAGACATTGAAGAGATTATCCTCTTCCCTGTCTGGCTGCCCTCATCATGTAGAAACCATAGATCTTGCACCAAAAACATTTAAGGGTTGCTCACTTCCATTCAATTCTGCTCTGTCACAATCTTTCTGTTGACAGTAAGTCATAATTATAGGACTTGGGTGAGCAGGTGTTGTCAGAAGGAAATTCCAGGCTGGTATCCATGATTGTTGCTGAGAGAAGGAATTACAAATTATTAGCATTTTTTCCTAAAATGAGTATATTGCAGTAGTAAGAAAAGTGATTTTTTTGTTTGTTTGTTTCTGTAAGGGATGTAACAATGCCTTGTATTAGTACAGTGTGCACTTTTGGCCTTCGGGGGGATCCACATGTCCATTGACATGGCTGCGAATCATCCCTGAGAGATCCGAGTTATAGAGCGTGGGTCAGCTGTACTCAACTGTCATTAGGTTCACATTTACAATCTGAGTAAAATATCTGGACTTTCAAACAGTGTAAGAGTTTCCTTTGTGCATATCTGGTCTATGGATGGAGAAAATCAGCTTATGAGGCAGTTCACCCCGAAGAGCTGCACCCTGTGAATGAGAGGGATGAGCGCAGCTGCCCGGCTCGGCCTTGGGCTGATCTCCAGCTGCAGTGAGCAGCTTGACTGGTGGCTCGAAAGGAAAATACCCAAAACAATGGAGGAGTTAGGGGAGGGGTCGTGGAACACACCCAGCCCGGTAAAAACGCCTGATCAAATGTCAGACATCACACAGGGCGTACTTATCTCGAGAAACAGCATTCATGGCTCATCTGAGATTCAAGTTCAACCGGGCAACTTGCACTTTTACTTGGTAAGTCCGGCCTGGCAACGCCTGGGTGCTCTTCTTCCACTACTTCCTCCTCTCGCATTTTAGCCAAATCAATGCCCATGAACGGTGCCATCTTTTTCTCACTGGTTCCCTCCTAGACTCCACCAAGATCTATGTCCCACTAGCAGAGGGCCACCTACCTTTTTCACATCAGGGACATTAAGGGCCTTCTTTGTGTGAGCAACCCAACCCACTATGCCAATGTCCAGAGGAAACACAACTTCTTTGTCAGGGACCACCAGGTTGTCCTCAAACTTGGAGGTTGTTGTGATGTCCAGCAGCCTGGAGGCCACCTCTGGAGTGCCGTTGCGGGAGCGGCACACGAACATGCTGCAGCGGTCAGCCTGCAGGAGCTGGGCCAGCCGCTGCAGGGCCCTGTGCGCCACCAGCTCGGCACTGCTTCCCTCCTCCTGCACAGACCACAGCAGCTCCAGGCACAGGGCCGACTCCTCCACCTGTGTCAGCTCGGGGAGGGACACGCTGCTCTTGACCACGGCCTGGCTGTTCTTGAAGATTTCCCCTACTGCCTCCACATGAAGCTTCTTGTAGAAGTACTCCTTGGCAAACTGAGGGTTCTTCTCCAGGTATTTCTCCACTGCCTCTTGGCTGATCTCACCCATGCTGTGGCTTGCTTTGCTGTTCAGAAAGGAAGATCCCCAGAGTGCTCCCTCAGGCAGAGACCAGAAAGGAAATTCATGATGGTCAAAATTACCAAGGAAAGCCTACGTGGTACTTTGTAAGACCACCAAAGGCAGAACAGAAAGGTTGTTCTGGCAGAGCTCTCAAACTGCCTGTAGCTCCTGGATGTGACAGAAGGCTCTGGCATATGGTGGAATTCAGAAAGCAGGGGATTAAAGAGTTCTTCGGGACACTAAGACCCTGAACATTATTAGCCCCTAAGTCCTCAGGGAATCCTCAGAGCATCCTAGATCAGCCAAGCAGTTGTCAGGTTGAACCATCTACCCAGAAAAATAACTGGACTGCTGCTAGCCACAACAAGAATCATCACTGACACATTCCCTTAATTACAGCAGCATTGACTGACAATTTGAGTTGTTCTTTTACCATAAATATAGGAAATGCTTGGGTTTAGGCAGTGGGGGTGCTTAGGTTTTTTTGTTTGTTTATATGGGAACTTAATGAACTTTGTGGGGAGATAAAAGAGCTTAGTATTAACACAGCATAAAGTGAATCTTTTTCTTAAAAGTCCTTTGGTCACCCAGATTACTTGGTCTACTCTTTTTGTAAATCCTTCTTCTCAATCATTCTTGTTGTAGACTTCCAAAGTGTTTTAGAGAAGGAAACCTTAGTCTTATTGTGTAACAGAGAATTGCATAGAGCAAAATCCTGGCCTACAAGCCAAGCCTCATCAAGTCATAGACTGAACGATAACTCTTGTCAAAAGACTCGATGACAAAAAGTGAGCCATGTAGTTCTTAACTGTGCTCTCCTGATAAGCAGATCGGTTTGAATTTGAATGTTAATATTAGTAACTGGACATTATGTGTTTTGCTACAAGGTACAGTCTATTAAATTCACCGGACAATAGCTATGTCATCTGTTGCTAGGATTCTTAACATCTCCAAGGCTACTGGCATAGAAAGAACACTTATACTGCTATTTAGTTTTGTTTAATTTTCACTTTATTAAGCTTTTACATCTATTAAGTACATTTGCCAAAGTATTTAAACATTATCATGCATCTAACAAGTCAAAATACACATTTTGTGAGCCAATTGTTTTGAATATTTAAATGCTAGTTTTAAACTTACTGAAAGTATTTTTAAATATTTCTTTTTTTTTTTTTTTTTTTTTTGTCTTTTTCGTTTTTATCAGTACCAAGGATTGAACCCACGACTGCCTGCTTGCAAGGCAGGCGCTTATGCCGCTGAGCTAAATCCCCAGCCCCTAAATATTTCAATTACAAATATAATAAGACAAAATAGGAAAAACACAATATATTACAGTGACTCTAAAAATTATTATTACATTTCCATTTAAATTTGCTTCAAAAAGAGCAACATGTGGATTTAATTCTCTAAACTTGAAGTTTCATTTTGCTAGAATAGTAATTTTAATAGCTATAAAAGAAAAAGTTGAGGTTGCAGGTTCTAGGTCCTGAACTGAGAGATTCTTAGATGGGAATATAATTTTCAACGAAGAATAAAATTCAAGTTGAATTACCCTACTTCTTATAAGTGACAGTCACTTTCTCCTTCAAAGTATCTTCTGAAGTGCCAACTAATGTCACATTCAAGTCTAGTCAGGAGAGTCTTCAACAGAAGGTTTTTACTACCTTACAACATCCTTTTAGCATCTTATCATAATTAGAATAATGAAATTGTGTATTTCCCAGGGGAAAGGGTTGAATCAACCAAGTCACCACCCCTTTGAGACTATTATCATCTTATAACATGGAGAACTCTTTTCTACCTACTTAGTATAACTATTAGACAGTTTCTACTTCTTCCAAAAGTATGTGGTATACTCCCAGTTCTCTGGTTCCTTCCTTTCCTGCTTAAATAGAGGAAGAAACATGTTGAGAATTGGTTTGGATTAATAATTTGCTTCCTTATAGGAAAAAGTATGTTAATATTATCCCTAATTATAAAAATGAAAATCAAGTTGAAAAAGAAACATTCTATTATAGTCACTATTATTTTGCTTTTAGAACTGCTTGTATCAACCATATACTCAATGTTATAACATATGTCTTGATTCTCCCATTATAAGCAAGTCACCATAGTAACTACTGAAATAGAGATCTGTGTTACAAGATCACTCTTCCTTCCTAGTTACGTTGGAAGATTCCTCTTCTCCGCACGCCTTTCTCTAGGAGAACCACGTGGTTAATTTTGCCAATGGGCTATGGGCAGAAATATCACTTCCAGGTAGGAATAACAAATTGCTACTGTGAGACCCCTTACCTCTGTTCCCCACGCTGCCACGTTAGTTTCACCTGGAGTTTCAAATGGATTCACCGCTGTAACCCAGAGTGAAGACATCCCAGAGGTCCCTGCGGATCCGAGCTGGACAGGTAGCGTGAGTAAGAAATAAACCTGACTTCTTTTCAGAGGGCTGACCGTTACTACATAGTCAAGAATTCTGATGGCTTCTCTTTAACTTTAGGGGCACCAGGGGAGTGACAAGGCTTGGCCCTTGTTTCACAACTGGCACAGCAAGGGAGGGAGACTGGTACACAAAGGCAGTGAACCAGAGGACAAGCCATGACACACGCAGAAGGGAGGAGCACACACGTGGCTCCACAAGCTCCCCCAGCGCGTCACATCTGGATGGGTACAGACAGGGTGGCCTGCTCGTTCCAGGTGATGCCAACAAAGCAGAGTGTGGAGTGTAAGGCTCCAGGACGAACAGTGAGAGGCGTGCCGGGAAGCCAGGGTGGGCCTCAAAGAGTCGAATGAAGATTTTGAATCCTGTACAGTTTTTGAGGCAGGAAGTGATATTACTGACATTTTCCTTTACAAAGTTAATATAGTAGTACTGGGAAAGATAAGTTGTAAACAATAAACATTGCATGTTGTGATACAGATGAAGAAGGTATTCATGATTTTACATTCCAAGGTATCGTTACCTGCAGTCAACCTTATGCCAATGATATTAAATGAAAAATTCCAGAAATAAATAACATTATGTTTAAATAACTTTCAAGATAACTTTTGGCACACTATGCTGCTATGACTATTCTATTTTATTTCTGGTTGTTATTGTAGTATAGGAACTATATTTATTTATTTATAGGTTTGGTATTGTCGTTTCAGGCATTCAAAGACCATTTTAAAAACATCCTTTGCTAGTAAGGGATGATTATTGCATTGAATTTGGTTCATTGTCTCAAACATTCTAAAAAATGTATGTAACCATTTACCCTATAATTCTGGTATATCATTAATTTGTCTTATAAAATAATTGAGTGTGTATTATTCTTATATGTGCAGTTTCAAGGATATTTACCAAAAGTATGTTTATAAAACATTAAAAATAGACTAGATATTCAATAATAAGCAGCTGAGTAAATAAATAGTATCATATCCATAGGAAGAAAACTATATAACTAATGATAACAGTAGTGTTACAGCTTATTTATTCACATGAACAAATATTTATGATATGCCATTAATTATGAACTAGCATAGCAGTATGATTTCATTAACACACACACAGTGGTATATGAACCAAAATGTAATTATAATTATTCCAAAATTATGAAATTTAAGACATGTGATTTTGTATTTTCTCTCTCTATTTTGCTTACTTGATTTTTCTAAAGCATCACAATGAGCATATATAATTTATGTAATGAATAAATTCATAAACAGAGTTTTAGGGCTATTTCTGTCACTTATGGCTGAGTTACTTGGTCATGAAAAAGGAACGGACAAGTGTGAGGCACAATCCAGTCCAGCAATTGATAGGACTGGCCATTGATTAGTTAGAAAAACAAGCCAGAAAGAGGATAATCCTGTGTCTCCCCTATATCCCCGACGAAATTCTGAACCCAGTGATGGTACGAGGAGGTAAGACCTTTGCGAGGTGATGGAGGTGGAGTCTTTATGAGTGGGATTAATGCTATTTTAAGTGGGGCCCCACTTAAAGAGACGATGCAAGGAGAAAATGCAATTTACAGCCAGGAAGAGGCAGAGGGACCTCACTAGGACTCAACCATCCTGGCAGCCTGACGTCAGATTGCTGGCCTCCAGAAGAGCCAGGAATGAATTTCCGTTGTTTACAGGCCACCCGGTTCCAGTTTCTCATTGCTTCTTGAACTAAGACAAGTGATATTTTATCAAGCGAAAACTGTAAATGAGGTGCACTGGAACCCTGCCTTTTAGTACACAAGAAGCATTCTTCCCTTTCTCCTTGTCCTTGACTGTATCCCAGTACTTCACTGCCCTTTCTCCTCTGGGGAGTTCTTTGCAAAGCTTCTGGCAGGAACTTTGGGTCTTTTGTTGGCTGTTTACACCCAGACACTAAAAAACAAAACCAAGTTAGGAAAATATCATCTCTTAAAGTTTAAAATTATCAAACAGATAATTTAAATAGATTC